TTTGGTGCTGCGGGATGCGATTGACAAGACGTTGATTGTCTCGTTTGTTGTGATTACATTTGGGAGCTTTGACGATAACGGTCTTCCGGACGATCCCATTAACAAAGTCACATTTTACAATCCAAAGAACATTGAGATTGGTGCTTTCAAGCTTCCAAGAACACGTGTGAGTCCCCTGTTTTTGCCGAGTGAGTATGGCGAGCGGATGTTGTTTGTTATGGTGCGCGAGGAGGCGCTTGCCGATGTTGTCACGGCTGCATTTGAAGCATGGCGGGAGCGTTACGAGCGGCATTTGGGGGTGGCCGTGCCGACAAGCAACAGGAGGAAAGACGAGAGCCCTGGGAAGGGATCCGCGAGGCCGAGGCGCTTTAGCGAGAATCGTGACGTCTTAAGTGGTAACGACTTTGTTTCCTTTGAGGAAATGCAGCGGCAGGTACAAACAGCCGCTTGTGAGCAGGAGGCACACCAGCCGCAGCCGCAGTCGCAGCAACAACAACAGCAACACCTCCAGCGTGGTGTGAAGAGTGCTCGATCCCCCAGTTGTAAACTTGGGAACTCGCAAGGCGAACACACGGATGGGAACGACGAGAATAATGAAAGGGTAAAACGGATTTGTACATCAGTCGGGAGGGGAAATGTGGAGGAGAAACACACGGACACATGCACACACGAGGGAGGGGCGGTAGAATGACGCGGCGTGTGTGTTGCTTTGCAGGGGGGATGAGGATGGCGTTCTTTTCCTTTCTTTTTTTGTCCCTATAATCATCCGCACTTGTTTTCTAGCGTGTGCGAAGGACATTAATTATTTACTGTATGAGATTATTATTATTATTATTGTTGTTGTTTTTACCGTTTTTTTAATTGAATTTTTCTTTTTCTTTTTCTTTTTTTTTTTTGTTGAATTTTTTCTTTTGAAATTTTTTATTTAAATTTTTATTTTTATTTTTTTTTTTCCCTTGTTGCATCTATCGTCGCATTGCCTTCCTGTTTACTGCAGCCGCTTCATTGCCGCCCTTTGCTTTTTTATCCAACTTGGGAAATAACAAGAATGGGGGACTGAGCGGTTGTCTTTCTTTCTCTCTCTCTCTCTGTGTGAGTGTGTGTGAGTGTCACTTATGGCATGGTGTGATGCTTCTTTTAGCGTGATTTACGGAAATGAGGAGCTTGTCGTTGTGAACAAACCGCACGATGTCCCCATGGACGGGGAGGCGTGTCCCGTGACGGTGGAGAAATGGGCATGGGCGTACCTCGCAAAGGGTGGTTGTGCCGACAACAACGCCGGTGGTGGCGTAGAAAAGGAGGACGATACGACGCGGACTGCAGGCAGGCGCAGGGGAGAAAAGAAAATGGTGAAGTTTGTGCATCAGTTGGATTATGCAACAAGCGGTGTGTTGTGTGTCGCCTTTTCGAGGGAAATGGCAGCGCGACTTGCACATTGCTTTGAGATGCGCACGACACGGAAGGCCTATTTGGCAGTTCTTTTTGGGATGATGCCAACAACTTCTGCCATGCAAAAAAAACTGGACACTGACACCGGTGTGGATTTTCTTCGTGGGTCCCCTTACGCCAGTCATGTTCGTAGGGTTTCAATGGATGACGTGCCAGGCGTTTGTTTTATTCGCAAGTGTGTGATTGAGGCTAGCGGACATGAAGAGGGAGAGAATGCCGATTGCTGCGCCACTCTTCTTGAGGTGAACCTCCCTGTGGGGTACGACACGACCGACCATGAGGGCTTTCGGATGACCGTAAACGGAAGGGATGCGCGGGGGAGCGTGACCTACTTGAGTGTGCTGCAGCGTGGGTACATGACACATCCTACATCGGGTTGCCCCGTGCCAGTGACAAAAGTTGCGTTATTTCCGCGAACGGGTCGACGGCACCAACTTCGAGTGCATTGCCATGCAATCGGCTTCCCCATTCTTGGTGATGTCACCTACGCGAGAATTCCAACGCCGCGGGTCGCTCCAAAAGTAACAGGGGCTGAGGAGGTGGCAACTGTTGGTGCAACGGAGTCGATCAACGCACCTAACGAAATAGGCGCGATAGAGGCGTGGCAACGGATGATGCTTCACGCATGGCGTCTCTCGTTTCCCGTAAGTGTGGAGCCACTGCGGTCTGGGAGTGAACGCTACATGCAGAAGAAGAAGCGGCGACGCGAGACATTGGGTTTGGCGGTCGCCGGTGGAGATGACACCACTGTCTGGACGCACTTTGAGACGGAGGATCCTTTTCAGTTGGTTCGCCCTGAGTGAAGGAGAAGATACGCGAATGGGAGGGGTGGGAGTGACAGTCCCGCCACACACAGGCAGGCAGACTGACATCCATCACAAAGCCGTTCGGTAAATTGGCAGATGCACGACAAAAAAGGAAAAAAAAAAAAACGGAGGAAAAAAAATTCCGTGTCTGCGTTTCTTTTTTTTCTGTCGTGCAGAATGCAAGCAATATATCTTTTTTTACTGTCTTGTTGTTTTTCTGTTCTCGTGGTTCTTGCGTAATTGAAGAGGAATGCTGCACGAAGCGTATGCCCCAGAAGACACCAGGTCCGTGGCTTGGAGCCGTCAAAAAAAAGTTGCGTTTCTTAGTCTCATTTCCGGCATGCGGGACGGCACGCGACCGCCGAGTGTTCTCCTCCTGTATGGCCCAACAGGCTCGGGTAAACTCACCTCTGTGCGGGCCATGCTTCGGGAGCAACGCGATGCTGTTGGTCGTCCCCTACTCGTCGAGGTGCTGCATTCCTGCGAGTCAACGCCGCAGCAGTATTACAGTTTCCTCATGGATACATTCACGGAACATCAATTGGCGGGAAACGACCCGTGCGAGTCAAAGCTTTCCGCATCGTCGGTTTCTGCGGATGACTCCAGTGATGTGAAGGACCGAGCGCAGCGGCCGTGTGAAGCTCAAAGTCGGCAACAGCCGCGCGTGGTAGCCCGTGTGATGAAGTTGTATGGCGAGTCGCTGATGTCGCCCCTTCATGCACGCACGTTACGTTTTCTTGACCACTATGACGCATGGAGGCGCACTGAGTTTTTAGGAAATTGTACTGGAGATGGCCCGAACGCATTGGATGGCTCGATCTTACGGCGTCACTTTGTGCTTTTTGTCCTCACGACACACGATACGCACAGCGATAAGGTGGCACTGGGGAAGCTGCTTCCCTCTCGTGTTCTCACACATCCATGCATCTACTCTTTCCACTGCACCCCAATCACAACGCGTAACTTGACGATACGCGTCAAGGATGTCTTGCGCATGGAGAAAAGACGGCAAACATGTGGCGTTAGATGTCATATTTCTGATGAACATGTGGATTTTTTGTGCGAACACAGCAATGGCGATATCCGTCAGGCGTTACTTCAGGTGCAATGGCGTTGCCTTTTGGGGGAAAGGGGCCTGAATGAAGCGGCGTTCTTGTCGACGTCGGCTGGGACGCCGAAGAAGAAAGGACCACGGCCAAAATTAAAGAAACCGAAAAATGTCATGGATCTCGTTGATGATCACGAAAACGTTAGCGCGGTGACCTGCACGCTGCAATCATCGCTGGCTCCGGAAAAGGGTTTTTGAAGAAGAAGTGGAAAAGGCGGTGCCATTCCGGGATGAGTATCTCGATGTGGCACATGCCACAGCACGTGTACTCACGCAGAAATACACGGTGTCTTCTGTGGCCAAGGAGCTAAACATTCAGCCCGAGAAGTTGTTTAGTTACATTACAAACAACATGCCGATTTACTTTCGTCCAGACCAAATGGAGGAGTATGCTGTTTGTGCTGCTGCCGCAAGCACTGCGGATGCCATGCGTTCTGCAGAAGTATTTGGTAGACGTAGGCAAACCGGTGCAGAGCTACACACTGCACGTCTTGCGTCTGATGATGACAGCGATGGCATGGGAGTCATAGGGTTAGATCTTATGGCCCTGGTATTATTTGGCAAGACCTACGAGGTTTGCCACAAGGATGTTTGCATTCCAGCTGCATTGGTGGCACAGCGTCCGCCGCCATACCAGCCCATGGCCTACCCGCGTCTAAGAGATGTGGAACCAACACGAAAACGGTTTCGGCATGATGGTGGGGGATACCTTGAAGATGAATTTGGAAGGAAAAGGGGGAGAGACGAGGAGCACAAAGTTGACTTTACGGAGCAGGAGTGGCGCCAAGAGTTTCTGCGGCGTATTGAACCACGCGCAATGGGTGGCGGCTCATGGCAAGGCGCGGATGCCGATATTCTGCGGGAAACGCTTCCAGCGCTTGTTAACAGGTGTGCCTCGTTGGAAACAGTGCTGCTGGAGTATGCCCCGTATGCGAGATGCATCGTGCTTGACTGGTCCCCGCCGACTGCATCCCGCGGTGTACTCGATGGCAATGCGACGGCATTATCGAGTAACGTGGAGTCGTTTAAAAGGCGACCTGTGGAAACCTCATTCAAGCCGCCAGGGCCGAAGAAGACTCTCTTTTCCTTTCCGGAAAGGAGGGCCCCATCGCTGCAGAAACGGCCGTGTTTACTGCTGCGGTACAAAATACTCTGCTGTGGCCTGGTCGAAAGGCCTCCTGTCCGTGCGGAACACTTTTTTATTGTCAAACGTCACGATGACAATGGAGAAGATGGCGACGACCTGTTGGACGATGCGGCTTCCGACCCCAACGCCCCGCTGCCGTTACTTCCCGATGGAGAAGACATTGAGGAGTACGATGACTGAAGGAAAGATGTGTACACTTTGTCTGCGCCCGCCCTCTGTGCACGTCAATAAACATGTGCTTTTTTGTTGTTTATGAATTAATTAATTAATTTTTTCCTTTGCCTTTGTGCGTTTGTGCCTGTTCTGTGCGTTTCTATTTTTACTGCGCTGGGGAGTAGATGCGTTTTTTTTTTTTTTTGTGTGTGTGTGTGCGTTTGTCCTTCTCGCAACAACAAAAACAATAAAAAAATTAATTCAGCCCAATAAATATTAGAGATAAACAGGCTGGTGAGAGGGAAGAACACGATTGAGTAGCTGAGAGAATAGGCCACACAGGGGCAAAAGCAAAAGTCGCGCAAAAACAGAAAACAACAACAAGAAGAAGAAGACAGGAAGCTATGGACGCGTACACATCGCTTCTGAATCTTAACTTCATGTCGGCCTGGCGAACAGGCAACAGTCTGATCGACATGCTCATTGCCATGACTATTCCTTTTGTGTCAAATTGGGTGGCGAGGTTCTTTTCTGTTATTTGGCCTGCTTATGTAAAGAAATTTATTGCGTGGATTCTTCCCAAAGACGCGGAAGTAATAATTCAACACGGCCTGACCGATCGATATCAACGGGCAGTGGATTTGACTGAAGGGTCGGTTCTGCAGGAGGCTGTTGAACGTTACATCAGCCATGAGTTGAAGCCCTTCTACTCGAGTGGTGAAGTTGTGTACAATATGGTGTCGCACAGCGACGGGCCTGATAGGAAGACCATGGCGCAGGTGTTGGAGGAGGACTTTAGGCTTTTCTGCCGCCCCTTAAGGGAGAGCGTCCGGCTTGGGAACGGCATTGCTTTTTTCATACGGGAGTCGGAGGATGAGACGCCTTCCAATTCGAAGGGCGTCGTGGCGAATGGCGGTGGAGAGAAGGGAGGGAAGTTGCGAACAAAGGCCCGGATGCGGGAGGTTTTTTTGAAGGAAAAGGCAGGAGGCCGCGATGAGGGCGATAAAGTGTTGGCGTTTGTGCAGGCTGCGTTGAAGTGGCATGTGAAGAGCCTTGAGAAGACATCGACCAGGAAGCGCTACCTCTACCAGCCCACTCGAAATAAAGATACCCTCGGCGGTAAGGATGGTGCCCTGACAAGAGTGCTGCGCTACCCCCTGTACGACATGAAGTCTTTTAGCTCCCTCTTCTTTCCGGAGAAGGAAAAACTGATAGCGCTGATCGATCAGTTTGAAAGCAAAACGGGCCGGTTTGCGGTGCCAGGCTTTCCCCACAAACTCGTATTGCTGCTGCATGGGCCACCCGGCACGGGCAAGACCAGCCTGGTGAAGGCCATTGCGCAGCATACGGGGCGTCACATTTTTTCCATCCCTCTTTCTCAGGTTCGCACAAACCAAGAACTCATCTCCTGCATGCACGATCAGCTCTTTGAGGTGTGCAAGAATCGCCAGTTTTGGAAGGTCTCGCTTCGTCCGGAAAAACTCATTTATCTCCTGGAAGATGCCGACGCCACGTCGGATTTCATGCTTAAAAACAAGACGAAGAGCACAGCGAAGAAGAGTCAAGGGAAACAGGCGTCTTGCCCACCGAATAAGGACGCACTTACGACTAAAGGACTATTGGAAGCATTTGGCGGGATTCTTGACGCCCCCAAGCGAATTATTGTTATGACAACTAATCATATTGAGCGACTCGACAGTGCCATCGTTCGCCCAGGTTTCGTTACGATGCGATTGTACATGGGGAAATTTACGAAGGAGTATGCGGCACAGATGGTCAGGCATTACTATGGGCCCGAGGCGGCCACAGAGGAGCGTCTAAAGTGCCTGAAGGAAGTGTTGCAGCGGGCCAGTGACACGGAGGTTTACTTTAGTCCTTCCGAGTTGGAGCAGTTGTGTGCGGAGTATGAAGAAATTGAGGAGCTTATCGAGGTGCTGAAGAAAGGAAGTCGAGAAGAGGTTTTTTAAACGCGTTTATTGACTTACAGAATCATCTGTCGTCCTTCTGCTTTTTACATACATAAAAGAGAAAAACAAAAACAAAAACAAAAGCACAACGGTTTCTGTTTTGTTTTTCCTTTTACAATGAGAATGGAGCACCTGTTGAATACTTGGGTATTTATGCAAATGCGCATGCATACACATGGACACGTAATTTATTTTATTTTATTTTTATTTTCATAATTTATACATGTATATGAATTTTTTGCGTGTTGTTTTGGTCTTTGCTGTCCCTACATAACCAAAAGGAAGTTTGAGCGTGTGGGGGGAAAACGAAAGGGAAAGAACAACAAGAACAACAACATCAGCAAAAAAGAAGAGAGATTTCACACAGGCAAGAAAAGGCATATACACTGCAGGGTTGGCTGCTGATATTTTATGATTACACATTGGATGGCGGCCGCAAAGACACCTGTAAACGTTCTTGTCCTGGTGACGGGTAGTATTGCCGCTGTAAAAGTGGGCCTACTTTTAGACCAGCTCTTTAACGAATCTTATCAGGTTCGCATTGCCGCTACCAAAAGCGCGTTTCACTTCTTGAATCGAGCACAAAAACCTGCCCGAGAACTGCCTCTGCATCACATTCTCACGGACGAGGATGAGTGGAGGGAATGGCAAGGAATGAATGATGCTGTTATGCACATTGAACTGCGGCGATGGGCACACCTTGTCGTCATTGCACCTTTGGACGCCAACAGTCTTGCAAAGCTCTCAAACGGTTTGTGCGACAACTTGGTCACTTGTGTTATGCGATCGTGGGAGGTGAAGAAGAAGCCGGTGATTTTGTGTCCATCAATGAACACCGCCATGTGGACACATCCGGTGACGGCAATGCAGCTAAAAACATTACAGTCCTGGTATGCTCTGACTCCTGTGGGACTGAGAGTGGACACTGACGAGACCGACGGCTACATCACGGCGCTTCCCAGCAATTTGGATGAGGCGATGTTTCAGATCGTCTGGCCTGTGAGGAAACGTTTAGCATGCGGTGATGTGGGAATTGGTGGAATGGCCTCAGTGGAGGCGATTGCCAGGGTAATACGAAACACAGCAGAACTTATTCGCGCCAAGAATCCTAATGCCACGACGAACGGAACAGCTTGCGAGGAAAAAAAACCGGGAGAACAGGCGCCGCTCTCGGGGGAGCAACAAGGCACCAGTGCAGAAGGTCATCAGGTGAGTTCATAAGAGAATGGGATTTTGGTCAAGTTGCCTTTTCTCATTTTGTTGTCTTGTGAGCTTCTGGTAGAAACATCTTTCTTTTCTGAGTTGGCCGCAACGATCTATTTTTATGGTGTTGTTTTTTATTTTTATTATTTTACGTTGTCCCGCTTGTTTTTTTTTTCTTTTTTTTTAAATGGATTTCTTATTTCTGCTGGATGCGAATCACGCCAGAGTTACATGTGCTGCCAAAATAAATTGATTTGAATGCATCCATATTTTATTATTATTATTATTAGTGTTAAATTTTTTTTTTTTTTTTTCCGGGAGGGAGGGGGGAGAATGTGTATTTGTAGTTTTTCTTTGCGGGTTTTATGTGTTGGGCTCACCGGTGGGTGGGTGGCGTAAAAGGAGCGATGCGGGATGGACTCCAGACGATTTGAAGATCTATTCTCTGCTCCGATCATTCGTGAGGAATAGGGGGTTGCGTCCCTGCACTTCTGCATCTCAACACCACGTCGTGTAGTCGTGCGGAGCGAGAAACGGGGGGAAGAGGAAAACAAGTTGCGGGAGGATGCATGGAGGGAAGACAGTAGACGCCATCTTGCAGTGGGCGGCCGGCGCGCTACACGGTGATGTCAACTCAGTATGCCTCATTGGGTTTTTATTGGAGGAACTGGGGGATGAGATGCCTCGTGTCGTGTGTCTTTGCAGGAGGACAGTTACAGCTCCCACCGCATCCGCTCACACACCGCAATGGAGTGGGTACCGGCGGAGAGAAACAGCTTCCGTACTGAATGCGGTGCCAGGATACACGTGTAGTGCTGACCGCGCCGAACCCAAATGCATCCCCAAGACAGAAACAGATCTTTATCAGAGTTTATCTTTCTTTGACGCATTTAACGATTCCGCGGAGCAGTTGTGGTCAAGGAAAGTGAGGGCGAAAGTGAACAGGACTGACGGTGATAGAAGTAGGGATTGTTTTCCTGATGATGATAACAGGTTGAGTAGTCACGGGGCATCAGTGTTGCATCAAACAGCTGCAATGGTTGTTTTCAGAGACAATTTCATCTCTGCGGGGTGGCAAGAAGATCGCCCTGACGAGTTCTTTGACAACGTGTGCCGCGAAGAAATTCGAGAGACGCCTTTGGAAGAAAAAAGTTGTGCCACGCCACGACTTTGAGTTACTGACGGGAGCGATGAAGAGGAAGAAAAGCGGCAGTCATGTCAGTGGTGTGGTGTGCGTGCGTCTAGTCGGTTTGCCCTTATCGACCCCCTAAATGAACTTTGGCTCTTTGTGAGTTTGTGAGCGGATAAGGGGCAGTTCATATGTGAATCAGTGGAGTTAGCTCTTCTATATATATCAATTTATATTTGCGCTTGTTTGCGTGTGTGTGTGGTTTTTTTTTTACATTTTATTTTATTTTATTTTTATTTTATTATGCTGCTTTCTTATTGCCACCATCATGCCGCCCCTTTAAAAAAATTATCTGGCTTCCATGTGTTGTGGCTGGAGGGTGCCTCCTTATCCCTTTTAGTTGTTATTTTTTCTTGTTCTTCTCTCTCTCTCTCTCTGTGTGTGTGTGTGTGTGTGTGTGTGTGTGTGTGACATCTTGAGCTATTTGCGGCACGCAGCTCCTTTCATTGTTCTCCTAAAGGAGGGAGAAGGGCAGCTTTCGTTTATTTTGCGTTCTACTAGAAAGTCTGTATATATACACATACATACACATATATACATATACATACATAGGTATATAAACATTCACCGACACACGTATCATGTCGAAGCTGTACCGGGCACAGACGCAACAGGGCCACTCGCGGGGGTTCTTTGAGTACATTCGCAGCGTGGGGGAGTCCAAGTCGAAGCAGGAGGAAGACGCCATTGTCACACGTGATCTGGCCGAACTCAAGAAAACCCTTGCATCAAACAATATTGAGAAGCGTCTGCTCAAAGAGTACGTTGTGCGTATCTTTTATGCGGAAATGTTGGGTGTCTCTGCGGAGTTTGCCCATATTCACTGCGTGAACCTCTCCTCGAGTCCTGACCTTCTCTCTAAGCGGACCGGCTACCTTGGCACGTGGCTGACGGTGGGGCCCGAACACGATCTCATGTACCTTATCGTTTCAAATCTGCAGCGTGACATGAAATCCAGTAGCTTCCTTGACATCGCCGCAGCGCTGACAGCGGCCTCTAAACTAGTGCGCTTGGAATTGATGAATGCCATCAACACGGAGGTTGTGGGGCTGCTGCGTCACCCCAACGCGCTAGTGCGAAAGAAGGCAGTGTCAACCATGCACGCTTTCTACAGAAAGTCCGAGGGTCTTATCGGAGACACAAAAATATTCCGCCAAATGTTATGTGATGCTGACCCATCCGTGATGGGGGCGGCACTTCCACTTTTTGCGGATGTCATTTGCACGGACCCGACGTCTCAACGCGAACTTATTTCAATCTTCCTGTCAATTCTTAAACAGATTGGCGAGCACCGGCTCTCTCGTGAGTACGAGTATCATGGCATTCCTGCTCCATGGCTTCAGATAAAACTACTACAGATGCTCCCAATACTTATTGGCGACGAACCATCACTTGCTCGGAAGTGTGAAGAGGCACTGAGAGAAGTAATCACACGGGCAGATAATGGGCTTGTTATTGGTTATGCCGTCATGTGTGAGGCTATCCGTGTAATAACACTGATTCCCACCATTCCAACTCTTGTGGAACTTGCAGCTGAGGCAATTTCGAAATTTCTTTCTGCGAGGAAAGCCAATCTACGCTATGCCGGCATCCAAGCTCTTTCACAGATCGTTCGGCTTGACCCAAAATATGCACATGAACACCAGCATGTCGTCATGGCTTGTCTGGAAGAGGCTGATGACACCATTCGTCGAAAAACTATGATGCTTCTTCTTGCCATGTGCAACGAGGACAATGTAGAGGTCATTGTAACCCGACTCGTGAAATCTCTCTCACAGACAACGGACAAGTATTTTAGAGAGGAATTTACGCGTCGAATATGTGATGCGGTGGATAGATTTAGCCCTGGTGCGGTGTGGTATATTGAGACGATGAATAAGCTACTTCTTTGCGCCGCAGAGCACGTTCCTCAGATGACTATTCAGGGAATTTTGAAACTTATCGTGGAAGGAGAGGGGAAGGATGGGGAAAAGGATGCGGCTTTCCGTACGTTTTGTGTTGAAACATACTTTGATCTTCTTGAGGGGTCACAGAAAAATTTACCCGAGGCCTTTTGTCGCGTTGCCGCATGGGTGATAGGCGAGTATGGATTTTTGGCGAAAAGAATAAGCCGCACCATGCTATTGGACCGTCTGTGCGATATGTTAGAGCGGGCAGAGTGCGCCGACACCAGAGGATGGATTATTATGGCTATGATAAAAATTGTTGCCCACGCCGGTGCCATGCCTGACAATGTTGAGGATCTTATTACACGCTTTAAGGATAGCCGTAGCGTTTGGATACAGCAGCGCTGCTACGAGTTTAGTGAACTTGTGAAGATGCCAGTGCTCATGAAGAAGGTACTTCCGCTGGACGGCTGCTGCGAGGAAGTTGATTTGGATGAATCCATGGGGTTTCTCGATGGCATTGTACAGGAGGCCCTGTTAGCAGGTGCCAGGCCATACGAAAAGCGGGAAATACTTCTCGGAGTGAAGGAGGAGGAGACACTCCGTACCGATGCGTACGAATTGGTACGCACGGATGTCGTTAATGAGAACGAACTTGATCCGGAGAACTTTAAAACGGAGGAGCCGCACAAACTTGTCATTCGCCCAGCCGTGAAGCGGTGGGGACTAAAAAATCTTGAGGAAGATATTACGCCGACGGAGGAAAACCCCACCGCCGGTGGTCCCGATGCATCGGAAGCAACCGGATCGATGGAATGTTTTTCTGAAGGAGCGGTCCTGCACCATGTGGACCCGCATGCACCGTCATCGTTATCGACACCCTCAGCAGCAGTAAATTTGCCGATGCCACGTGAAGTTTCAAAGCCAAGCAAAAATAAAAAGTTTTTAAATGATATCTTTAGTGTAGGCAACAAAAAGAAATTGACTGTGCGAGGCCACAATGGGGCGACAGAGTCGTTGGTACATGCTGGGAAGGGTTCTGAAGAAAATGACGCAGGTTCCCTACTTAGCATTCATATGGAGTACGTCAGAGAATTGGCAACAACAGGAGTTGTGGTGCGATTTGTGGCGAAAGTGGGGGTGGAGAACGTTGTTATTTCTATGAGGGCTCCCCCAAACTGTACGCTTCGCTTTGTCTCATGTTCTGCAACGTCCGCTACGGTTGATGGAACCGCGGTAACGTTAAATAAACTGCAGGCGAATCAACCGGTTGAACTGGAAATGCAAGTTTTACCTGTTGGATTTCCGAAAGAAGGTCGCGTAAAAGTGGAGATCACTTATCGTAGTGCCGTTCCAGGCGACCCGCAATGTGCCTCGGTGTCAAGGGCGTTATCTGCGAGGGACATTCTACGGCCACCAGCGCAGATGACAACAGCGGAGTTCGGACAAACCTGGGTAGGCCTCCGAGAGGAGTGCAAGCTGCAGATGAGTTCTGCCGCTCCTTTGACGCCGCAGTCTTTACAAAACCTGCTGTTGGAGCGAGCGTCGCTGCGTGTGGTGGAGGTGATCCGCAATGAACTCATTACGGCTGCCAAGTTAATTGGCACGGGGAAGCCAGTCTTGTGCCACGTTGACGTTGTGGGTCCCAACGCTGCCAACGTGAAAGTACGGGCAGATGACAAGGGATTTGCGGCATACGTGGCACACGCCCTATCTGCACCGTAACACCGTGGCGTGTTATGCCCCGCATATTTTTTTTTGGAAAAAAGAAATCATTTGTAACTTCATTCCATCCGGGTATATGACAATGGTTTGAAAGAAACTGCATTAGCGGATTTTTAGTTACATAGTCATGTAAAAGGCACGGAGACAAAGATAGTGTGAGATTTGATACGCGTATCTCTGTATGCCGTGAGCCGAGGGTTCCTTTTTTTTTTTCTTTTTTTTTTTCTCTGTATCTTTGTGTTTGTGTCTGTTATTTGAATGCAAGTAACAAGCAGAGATGCATTTTTTCGCGCCTATTCATTATATATATATATATATATGAATATGTTGGGAAATGATATCGCCTAGCAGTGAAAAAGAACGAGAGTTTAGGGGAATATCGGAGTTACTCAATATAATTTCTTTTTTTTTTTTTTTTTTTTTTTATTTCCTCTTCTGCTTTCGTTTGTTTGTGTTTTTCAGCCACCTTATTATTTATTGTAGTTGCACGCTATCTTTCAGCTTCTTTTTTTGGTGTTAGACACAAGGAACTGAGGAAGCATGCGGAAAAACAAAAAAACAAAAACATTGAATATTGCGGCAGCTTGTTTCTTTTTTTTTTTTTTTTTTTGTGCGTGTGTGTGTGTGTGTGTGCAAGGAAAAAGGGAAAAGAACGTTCAATTTAATTTTAATTCTTTTGTAAATCCTCTCATTACGTGCAGGCTGTGCCAGAGACTAATAAGTGGCTGCGTAGGTATTGATTTGTATATATATATATATATACAGCATATATTTTTATAATATTTGTCTATGTGTGTACACGGACCTCTTTTGAGCACTTCTTTTGTCGAGAAATATCCTGCACTTTTCTCTTGCATGTTTTTTTTTTTTTTTTTTGCCTTTGAAAGGGGAGGAGGAGGTAGTCGTTTATTTCATTTATTTATTTTGTTTTTCTTGGCTGGACGTTATAGCGGCGATGGCGGGGTCATTGGCCACCGCGTTTGCCCCGAGTGAAACTATGCAGGAGGTTGATGAGGAAACAGCGGTGTATTGCAGGTCGCATGACGTGATGTGGTTGGGCTTCGTCCGCGACTTGTTATCGACGCTACGCAACGCGGCGCATGAAGTGCAGGCAAAGAGTGAAGGGCAGCTGGAGTCGCAGCGCCTGTGCGTCGGTGACTTCGGCCACTTCAGCAGATCCTCCACCGCGTTGGAATTGCTGCAGGACTGCTGCCTGAAGTGGGAGGAGTGCCGGGCAGAGGCGGAAAAGGGGTTTCTGGAGTATTACTTTGCCATGCACTCACTCAATTCTGGGACTGAGCCAAAAACGGGGGCGGTGCCAGTTGAAAAATTCATGTCGACTTTGTTTGCCGGAGTTCCTGGCACGGTGGGCGGGGATCGTTTGGCGGAAGAGCTGCGGGTGGAGAGAAAACGGTTGTGTCTTGCAGACGCACTTGGGCTGCCGTTGGAGCTGCCGCGAGGGGGAGACGAACAACAGCTCCCGCAGGGCATCTTAGCTTTGGAGAGGGCACTGAAGTCGTTCCGCGTTGTAACGGACGAGACGCTGCCTGGTTACCTTTACTGCACGATTCAGCCATTGCTGTGCGAGATGACGTCCTGTTGGTTGCTCAATGGCATTTTTGCCGACACGCCGCTGCGTCTTATAGGCACCGCGGAAGGGATGAGACTCGCGAAGGAGCGACTTGAATTGCATGCATCCTCGTTGCGATTTCTTTTCGAGTTGGCGGAGAATGAATTTTGCCGCTGCCACACTGCGACGGCGTTGGAGTCGAAAAAAAAACTGGAAGAAATGCTCTTGCGTGTGACCGTCATGCAAACTGCAGCCACCCGAGATGGGGTGGTTGGGCAACTTGCAAAAGAGTGGCGAATGGCTGCCGAAGAGGCGCGATCGGTTCTCGCCAGCACGGAGAAGACGTTGTTGGGCGTTTTACCGGGGCAACTTATGGGTGAGTTTGATAAATTGTTTCAATTATCACCTCATCGGGTGATGGATCACATTGTGCACAGCTTTCAGCTTCCACTCACGTCGACGGCACCCAACCATGATGTGGAGAGGGTGGTGCGGTGCAATGATGTTCCAACGGCCGTCGCAGCTGTTGGTGCGTCATTTGACGGCATGTCGCTTGAGGAAGTGGAGTACCTCCTGCAACCATCTGACCCGGACAACATGTCAACGACACAGAGAGAGGAGGGGATTTTTTTGGCAAAAATACAAGCACACTTTTATCGTTTGTTTAAGCTGCTGCTGCGTGCGTGTTGCCTTCAAGGAGGTGAGGTCTTGGTAATGCTGTGGCCATTCTTTGAGTTGCAGGCATCCCCTTTTCTTTGTTCCGTGCCCCACGCACGCCTTGCAGCAATGCTGCAGCGTCACAATTACGCTCTCTTTGACGCATTGCTGGGGACGCCATGGAGGGTGAAGGCGGCAGTGCTATTGGGCGGCGGCTGGGTGCGTGCGGCACGAGGCCACTTTGCGCAATGGCTGTCAGAGAGACGTGGTGAGGGGAGGGAGTTGTTGCCTATTGTTGTTTTCAAACAACTTTGGAGGGAAGAAGACAAAAGTGACGTGGAAAACGGCACTCAAAATCCGTTTTGTATTCCGCTGCTCCGGCGGATTATCACCGGCTGCGGCGGCAGGCTGATGAATGCAAAAGTCGCGGTTCTTGTCCCGGCCGGGGGCGCAACAGTTCTTTCCAGGCGTTACAGCGTCTTTCCGATGATGCGCCATGCATCTTGTGAAGTGGAAGGGACGGGTGCCGATGAAACTCGGGGAGGGAAAAATAACGCGTCTTGCTTTATGATGACGGAGGCGAAAAGTCGTCCTTTGCTAGTGGCACTGCTACAAGCCACAATGATGCCGGTGTTTTCATACTCTGTGTGTGGTGCCACACCCCTTTTGTTTGTCTCTGACGGTCTCGACAGCAAAAAGCAAATGCACGTATTGGACGCTGCCTTTTGGCAGGCAATGGGGTTGGATAACAAATGCGTCATGCCTCCCCACCTTTACGTATGGTTAGACGCACGTGACAGCATTGGGTGTGAGTTAGACGATGGGCGAGATATCGATAATAGTGACGTTGGGGGATTCGTAGCTGAAGGCCGTCTGGTTTTCGCCATTTTTTTTTTGTTTGTTTTGCCTCTTTCCGCGCGACGCCATAGGTCTCCGTGTGTATGTTTTTCTTATTTTTTCTATTCTCTGTTTTTGTCCTTACACACACACACACACACACACACACAAAGTTGGAGACGCTCTACGCCACCATGCCGGTGGCTCCCAATGGCCTGTCTGTTGGGGATGATGTGGGAGGGCCATCCACGAAGATGACACGAAAAAAGAACCGAGAAGAACGGCCCTTCTTATTCGCAAACTACCCGTCGCGGAAGGTGGCCATTCGCCTGGCATACCACGGCCATTTGTATGATGGATTGGCAAAACAGGAGGAGACATCCAACACAGTGGAGGCATACGTGGTTGCGGCGCTCAAGCACGTGCGACTCATCCCGCAGGACGGACCGATTGATCTTGCACGCTGCGGGCGAACAGACAAGGGCGTTAGTGCACTAGGCAACGTCTTCTCACTTACGGTCCGAGCCTCCTCATGGCCCACGGACTCCCCACAGAAACCACCACTTGACTACTGCGCCATGCTCAACAGCGCGTTGCCTGTTACCATTCGGATCGTTGGCTGGGCGTATGTGGATGATACTTTTGATGCACGCTTTTCATGTGTGGGTCGAACATACCGATATTACTTTTGTCATCGAGGCCTCAATGTGGAGGCGATGGGTAACGCCGCAGCGCGGCTCAAAGGGGTACACAATTTCCGTAACTTTTGTAAGACAGATGTTGTGAACGTCAGCAATTACGAACGTGATGTGCGCAGCGTTGGGATTTTTGCCAGCGAGGCGTTCCCGGAGTTGGTGTCTTATCTTGAGATTCATGCAAACTCTTTCCTTTACCACCAGATTCGCTGCACGATGGAGGTTCTTTTTCTTGTTGGGCGCGGGTTGGAGGACCCAGAAGTGGTCACACAGCTGCTCGAGCGTGGAGACCGCAAACCCGTGTACCCACTAGCAGATGGTACGCCGCTATTGCTGTGGGATTGCCATTTTAAGAACTTACAGTGGAATATTTCAAAACGTGCATTTATGGTTGTGGAGCACGAGCTTCAAGACATCGCGACAGCGTTATTCCTTAGGGCATCTTTGGCGAACTCTATGCGCTCGCAGCTGCTCACCTGGTACAATGGGCATACGGACGCGGAAGGCAAGACGATTGTGGCACAACTGCCCGAGGTGCAGGCAGCAGACAGATGGTCTGTGACCGGGTGTGATTGGACCGACAAGCGCACACACGCCAACATGCGTGTGCGACGATATGACTTGTTTGCACTGTCAAGGCAAAGGGAGCACGGCGCTTCCGGGCCCTTGTCAAGTAGACCCTACACAAAACTATTGGAGCGTGAGACCGAGCGAACATTTGAGGAGGAGGTGGAGGCACTCAGTCAAAAGAAACGAGCCCGATTTGAAGGTAAAATGGAGAAAAAGTAAGATAATTTACAATGAGATGTCTCTCTTGGTGTACTGCCCTCACATATAAATGTATAAATTGCTGGTTTTATGATTTTCTATGCTTCTCTGTGTGCATGGTTTTTGTGAATGCTCTTGACCAATATGTTTTTCTTCTTGCCCTACGTTCTATTATTTTTTATTTTTTTCCACCTTTCTGCCTTGTGGATATTTGTGTCTATGCATGACCCCACAACATTCATGTTGTCGGTACTATCAATGTGCAGGGAAGAGGACTTTGGGTGTAGCTGCGAGGTGATGGAAGGGGGTACAGCGCAGTCTGCCGTGATGTTTCTGCTGCTTCTGCTGTTGGACGGGCGAATATGTTGTGTCTCGCTGGTGGACGGCAAGGTGCGTTGGGAAACGCAACTTCCTGGTGGCCCGCTTTTTCACTGTGGACCGAGGCGTCAGAGTAAAAAAGAAAAACGGATGTGGGCCCACCTCCCATTTCGTTCTGCATGTAGAAGCTGTAGGAGTATTTCAACACGCACGATGGGAACGGAAGCCCAACAGGAAAAGGAACTGGAAAACGGTATCACAGACTGCTCTCTCTTATTTTTTCCTCATGATGGAACAAAGCACGGAGTCCCTTTCATGAATTGGCATCTGCTTGTCGCACCCAACCGCGGTGACAAGAAGGTCACTTGGTGGCCGGTGAATGACGTGATTAAGTGCTGGAATGAGTCTTCATGCTCGGCTCACAAAGTGCTAGAATTGCAGCAACAGGTGACGTCACATACGGAGTTGGATTTCTCTTCAGGAAAACTGCTGATAAGCCTCAGTTCTCAAGAGGATCATATCAATACTGAAGAAGAGACCGTACCAGACGAGGTTTCATCGGTGCGGATAATCCTCGAGCGCACGGATCAAACACGGAATGTGATTTTTCCGCCATCGCAACCCCCTTCACATTCTCGTGTTGAGACCTCATCCAACAGGGAGGGGCAGGAGGAGGTCTCCCAGTCATGGTACGCCACGCATTCAACCGTGACGATCGACTTACTAGAGACCTCCTTGGATGATGGTTTATTCTTCGACTCGGGGTCGCATGTGGATCATCGTTTTTTCCACATTGTGCAGACTATAACAGGGAATGGATTTACATCTTGTCTGCATATCTCGGAAGGATCGGAGTCCATTGGGAGGCTGGAACTGGCTGACGTGAACTGCCCCTTGGTTGCCGCACAAATAGTCTGTCGAAAAGCAGACGCCATGGCATCCAATGAAGGCAAAACGTCGCGGCTAACCTGTCAAGGTATTCCTGTGGTCACTTCCTGGAGTAAGGTGGAAAGAATTTATGTTTTTAACTGGAACTTGCAGGAATGCGGTGGAAATGTGCAGGAACTCTCTGGTTTTTTGTATGGCAATAGGCGGGTTCTATTCGTCGAGTCTGTTACACCGAAGATTGAATTCTTGCCAGTTCCTTGTGACTCAGAGACTCCTGAAAAAAGAGGAGTGGATTTTCTGCCCTCGTGCACTCTGGTGGGTAATGGATATGGGAATGGAAGTTACATTGAGGATGACGATGACTCAAGTGAAACGGAGTCCTCCGTGTCAAGTGGTGCTGCAGAAAACGCAATGGTGCTTCACAAAAGGGTCACATCACTTCGTAATGGCGAAGAAAAAGGGGCACTTGTTTCCGGTGACACGGAAATTTCTTTTTTTGATGAGAACTTTGAGATTGTGGCGCTTTTGGGTCGTGGGGCATCCGGCGCCGCACTCCTCACACGGAATCGCCTCACAGGCTTATTTTACGCCGTCAAGGTAATGCTGATGCGGGATTACTTTAGCAAAGATAACGCACTTCGTGAAGTGCGACTACACGCGCTACTACACCACAGATACCTTGTGCGCTACTATGCATGCTGGTCAGAGGCGCTCACACCGTGCAGAATACAGCAGTTGGCCACTATTGGTCTCTGCAAACCAATGGGACTTCAAGAAAAGGCCGTCATCAATGGCCCAGGTTGCATTGATTGTGTGGACCAACAACACGGTGTGCTGTTGCAGTTGAAAGACAGTACAACCTGCTTGCTGGCTTCAGAACAACAAGGCATGAATCGCAATCTTCTTATGGCACCACCAGATACGAAAGCTGGAAATAGCACTGGGACTTATCTTGCTGGAGTTGATAGTCCTGAAAGCAGTCTCGATGGATCCCCTCAGAGGCGTGAGGAATGGGATGATGGGGAGGAAAGCGACTCCTCTTCTTCCGTTTCCTCTAACGCATCAGGGAATCCTCCGATGGACCAAGTCGTATTTCTCCAATTGGAGTACTGTCAGACAACATTGGCACATCGTTTAGGCTCCCGAATCTGCATTGATCGTGTGGAGAACATTATTATCGCGCTGCAGATCTTTTCAGCGTTGCACTATATCCATAGTCGTGACTGTCTGCACCGAGATGTAAAGCCCACAAATGTTTTTTTGGATTACCATTGCCAGACGATAGGCATGGATGACACAAGCGATGATGTTGACGAAGACGACGAAGACGACGACATCAATAATAATAATAACAATGATGATGATGATGCTAGTGCTGGCGATCAGAAGGAGGAGGGAGGAAAAGATGATGCTGCTGAAAACACAACGAACCCCAACGGTGGCGTGCACGACTTTCATGTTGACAGCGATGAGAATGCACGCAGCAGAATGGAGTTGGTGCAGCCGGATCTCGCTCCCGCAATTCCCACGCAATTTTTATCTGCCTTTGAGTTACTGCGGTTGAAGGCTTCTGTGGGTTTACTTGCACTTTATTTGAAGCGATTCAAAAGCGCTCAGGATGGATCAGAGAAACGGAAGGTGGCACGTCTTGTCCGAAGATGGCTTATTTCTCGTCTTGTGCAGGTTCGTCTTGGAGATCTTGGATTGGCAAAGCCCCTGAGCGACCAGCGCGTTGAGGTGGCTCGTTACTTTGATCGCAGCGCGATTAACACCCTCGGTGTGGGCTCTCCTCTCTATTCCAGCCCGGAGCAGTTAGAGGGAGCTCTCTGCACGCCGGCCTCGGATGCATTTTCCGCTGGTGTTTTGCTGGCAGAGATGTACATTGAGCCCAAGACCGTGTCGGAGCGACTATTTGAACTTCAACGTGTGCGTGATGGTGTTTTTCCGTATCCTGCCCTGCTGCGGGAGTATCCGGAACTGCAAGTGGTGCAGGGGCTAACGAGGAGTGACCCAAAGTCGCGCATGACACTTCGGGACGCAGGCCGGGTCTTAGTGAAGACGTTAGATAAAATACTCATTTTATTTCTTTCGAGCTGATTTACTGCAAAGCAAAAAAAAAAAAAGAGAATGTTGTTGGGAGAGGTTTGGGTTTTTTTTTTTTTTTTTTGCCGCCGCTACTACCAATGACTATACCCTGCCTGTTTTTGATTTTCTCCTTGTGAACTTGTTATTTATTCCTTTTCTTTTTTTATTTGATTGATGCCTGCCTTTTTTTTTTTTCTTTCTTTCTTTATCTTCTTTTGAGTCGGATGCAAACTTAAAAATTTATCGCAAAATAAATACATAAAAAAAGACAGGCAGGGGAGGAGGGAAGCAACAACGGCGATGCGGCGTTGGGTGTCCCTCGGTGGTTGGTGCGGCCCCGGCCTTATGCTTTCCAAGTTGGGCATTCGCCCCGTGGAAGAACAGCTGCCGTTTGATATGGCACGGTGCAGCTTTGACGGTCTGCTGGAATTCACCAGGAACGGCTTTGATAACGGCTTTTTTCCAGGCCCTCTGCAGCGGCGGCCTTTCACTCCCGATCCGGCTTCCGTATGGCTTCTTTTTCGCGGCCAACATGCTTGCATCACACACTTTGATATCAATGCAGATGAGGTTGTACAGGAGTTTAAGAGGCGATTCGATGAATGGGAGAAGATGATTACATGCCCCACCCGTCCAGTCACATTTTTGCGCACCTGCATCGCCGAAAATGCAAGGGACGAAGTGGAACTAGTGCCACAGTGGCACGCGTTACTCCGAGAGAAGAGTGCAGGAAAGCTGGATTTTTGCACCGTGATGGTCATGCATGATCAGGGACCTACCACAGAGCGTGTGGCTTCGTTTGCTGAAGAAGATGCCGCGGGGTCTCCTTGTGTGGTGTGGAACCTTGCATTTGACAAACAACTTCCAGTTGAGGCATCGCTGTTTGATAAATGTCACGACGGCTATGCGCAGATTATTCGCGAGATGAATAGGAATGAGGCCTGGTATGTGAGCACCTCGCCACTACGCCTTGTGTCACCAAAGCCGTACAAAGCTCTTTCTCTAGTGGAGGGCGTTCCGGCGCTTCGTGGATCATGTACCGGGTTTGGAACGACACATTCCGCGCTTTTGGGACGCTGCCTGTACTGCGGCTCCACCAATGGACATGAGGTGGTTCGTGATGCCTTTGACAGCAAAAAACCTTGGGACAATGCAGAGGACACAACGTTACTAGCAAAATGGATCACAAGCAACGGAGACAAGGTAGCCACTGTGGAGGCGACAGCATTGGAACTTAAACGTGGCGCTAATGAGGTGCTGCTTCGCTTGCGGCAGCTTATTCAAAGTTAAACCATGGATTTTTATTAAATGCTTTCTCTATTTTATTTTATTTTTTATTTGTTTGCATCATCTATGCATATCTGTTTGTTTAAGCTGTATAACGGTGTCTACATTTATTATTTATTTATTTTTTTTTCATATATGTAATAAACGTCCCACTTCCTCGGAACCCAATCGACGTCTTTTTTTTTTTTTTTACTGCTTTAGAGGCCTGGAAGAAGATGATGTCTGGTGGCATGCAACAACAAAGACAGCCGCACGTCTCTAGGGCCTCGTGGCTTTTTAAACAGGCGGAGTGGAGGTTTGCGTGGGACCGACGATTCTTTGTTCAGGATGGTCTGCGTCTGGCGTACCGTGTGGGGGAGAATGAGGCGGAGAAGAAGGCCGGCTATGTCATCTCCCTACAGCGCATGGTGGAACCGCCGGAGTCGCATAAGTTTCGTGTGTGGCTGAAGGAAGGAGAATGCTGGACACTCCGAGCTGAAACGGAGGAGGAACATCAACGGTGGACAAGTAGCATCGCTGCCGCTCTGATGCAGGACGCGGCGGAAGAACTCCATGATGTGCGTGAAGGCTTTGTTCTGAAAAAAGGGGCTTGGACGGGGCAATGGAGACAGCGGTACTTGGAGCTGGATGAATACCGTTTGGCCTACAGAATAAATAAAGAGGGTGAGGTGCGAAATCGCTTTGTTATTGTGTCCGCCGATGCATCCGGTGAGGAGGGCAGGGAGGAGGAGCTTCTTGTAGCAACAAGCTGTGGGGAACAGTTTTGGCTGAAGTTTGCGAGTAAAGAGCAGTTTGATGACTGGACAGGCGTGATCATGCGAGGGCTGCGAGGAACCACTTCATGGCATTGGAAGACGCTTCTCTCCTCACAGTCTTCTGAATATGCTTCAGTTCGTGTGCAGTATCACGCCAGCGGCGCCGGCAATGGCCCTTGTGTGTACTGTTACGGTGGTACGTACACCCTGTCGTCGCGTCGGTATTTTGAGGCATCGAAGGTATTTTTACCGGATATACGCCGAGTGAATGTTGGAAAACAACTCTCTTGTGTCCGACTGACTGGGGAACACAAATGCATCTCCCTCGATATCCTCCCTTATGAGGAGGGTCCACACGCCAAACTGCGGCCACCGCCCTTATTTGGTGCGGCCTTATGTGTGCTTAGATCACCGAGCGAATCGTCATCTTCACCGGTATTGTCTAATTTTTACTCCTCGACTCCACCGCTGGAGTGTCTGTTGCTTGTAGGAGGCCGTAGCGAAACATCTGTTTTTCGCGACGTCACAGTTGATGTTTGGTGGTGCGTACTGAAGGGCCGCTCATCCCGGTGGCAGCGGTGCACTTACGACGCAAATGTGCTTCCAGGCCGCACCTTTCATACTTTGACCGCAGTAAGTTCAAGGTCGGCGGTGCTCATTGGTGGCTTAGACAGCATGAATCGTGTTTGCGCGGATTGCTTTCTTATTTTTTGGCCTGAAGACGAGACCGAGGCCTTTATTACGCCTCCAGTTGTGAAGTTTTTTTGTTATCTGCCAGAGCCACGTGCTTTTCACGTTTGCCTGGCGCTGCGCGACGTTTTGCTTTTACTTTTTGGGGGTCGTGGTCTTCGCGAGGCTGCGCCATGCAGTTCTTTGTTTGTGTCCTTGAGCTCAGAGTCAGAGTGGCGGGAATTGACAGTAGAGCCGCCTTTGCCTGTGATGAATCATGTGTGTGCGGAGGTGGTTTTTTCTTCTAGTGGGGAGCAATGGGTTTTTGTCCTGGGGGAGACATGCACGTCGTACCCAACACTGAGACTTTTTCAACTGTCAGTGCAGTCCAAACTTGCCGTCTCGAGAGAAGTCGCAATTACAGTTGGTGACATCCCACGGCGTTGTTGTGGGGCAACGATGCACCATGCAGGGGGGTATCTTTATCTCATAGGTGGCTGCTATGATGGCAACCAACGCAATGATCAGGGTCAAGCGGTGTTTTTTCGGGATCCTATCCGTATGCTCATTGGCGATAGCGAAGGAGGAGGCCCCGTCACAACTCACCGGCAGTGAGGTGGGAGTGAACACGTGGGTCCGGTAAAGTACATTGGCCGCGCACGAAAAAGAGGAGTTGGGGAAGGGCTCTCATTTTGTATGAAATCATTGGTGTATCTTTGCCTGCTTTTTTTCTTTTCTTGTCTTCTTTAGTGCGTCTCCCGTTGGCGGTGGAAACAGAGAAGATGCAGGAGTTTGTATTATCACTTGTGTTGTTTCTTGTGCTGGCATTTTTGGCTGCACACGTGACCCATTGCGTATACCGCAGCTGCTGAAAGGATTGTGTGTGGACGGAAGAAAAGGAGTGAAATGTATGCATTGGAAGCGGGAGGGGGAAAAAAAAAAAAGGACCGGGACTCACAGGATATTACCGGTTTGTGATGATGTTATGGTTTTATTATTTTTTTTCTTCACCAAACACGATTTTTTTTTTTTTTTGTGTGTTTTTGTACTACGAAAACACGGAGGAAGTATTATTTTCATTTGTCCTCACTGGGCTCCACACATCTATTCACCTGCTTTTATTTCACATAAATACACAATGACCGACACGATGTCCACTGCCACGCAGAGGGAACTTGAGTGCGTTGAGTACCTGAAGCAAAAGATTTCTCCAACTTTCCTTGACCCTGAAGATGCGGGGTTTTTGACCGACAACACCTATCTGCGTTTTGCCCGAGCCCGCAATGCTCACAAAGAAAAGGCCTTGGCCATGCTATCCGCCTGCTTGGACTGGCGGAAGGAGTTTAAGCCGTACAAAATTACTCACGGCGATGTGGCGAATGCGATGAAGCAGTTTACTATCACTGCCGCCGGACGCTGCTGCAAGGGGCGTCCAATTCTCGTCATGACTCTTGGCGTCCCGAATGCTTGCGAGGTGGATGAGCGCGTCAAGCAACTTGTGTACCTCTTGGAGGAGGTCGGGCTGAGGTGCCATGAAGGCATTACGTGGATCATTGACTTTTCGGAGCTGGGGAAGCATCCCCGCGATGCGCGTTCTTCGGAGACGCGGAAGACCACAATGAAGATCTTGCAGGACTACTACCCCGAGCTATTGGGTGCTCTCCTTCTCTATCGCACGCCGTGGTATGTGCGTTTTCTTTACAATGCGGTGAGGCCCTTTATCGATAAACGTACCCGAAAGAAGGTGTTTTCCCTGGGTCACGACGAGAATTTGCTGCTGCAGTGCGTTTCCAGGGATCAAATCCCTGAGAGTCTTGGCGGGACATTCCGCACTGACGCCGGCAAGCCCTTATGGGAGTAGCCCGTTTTCCAGATCGGGTGGGAGGTGCATCATGTGTGGGGAATAGCAACAACAGCCAAAAAAGGATAGTGATATCGTAAATTGGGAGAGGAGAGAAACGCCATATCCAGTGGCGAAGACTGTGTTTGTGTGTGTGTGTGTGTTTATTTCAGCAAGTTTGACGCTCGATATAAATAAATATATGTTTCTTAGCCTTATATATATATTTATTTATTTTACGTTTTTTAACAGGGATCCGTTTATGAGCGTTTTTTTTTTTTTTAATCTGCCTGCAGAAGGAAGAAAAAGAGAGAGTGAGAGAGTGAGATTGGGGGAAGTGAGAATCAACAGAAGAATGTTTAACGCGACAAGCATAACACGCGAAAATTTTGTTGCCATTACAACTACATGGCAGAGCCAACGCCATTTTTTTTTTTTTTTTTAGCTGTTTTGAATTTTTATTTATTCTTCTGTTGGTTTGGTGGTCAAATTACATATATTTTTTAAATTACACGGATTTTCTGAGCAAGTGTATGTGTGCTTTTGGAGGGCTATTGCCACAGTCGCCCTATATTATTTTTTTTTGTTGTTGTTCTACCATAACCAATCCCTTGGGTTTTATTTGCGTCCACAAATGCGTGCATGCATCTCCTTGTAATTCTGCCCCTCTGATAAACGCTTTTTATTTGCTGTTACTTTTTTTTTTCTTTTTTGTTTGCTGCAGGGCGTTTGGAATGGGGCCGAAAAAAGGGTTGAAAAAGACGGAGGAGAAGGCACTCGCCGTGGAGGATCCTCTTGTCGTGGGGTGCACCAGGAGTCTGGCCAAGTGGACGGAACGGGTGACCGCAACCGGCCGGAAGATTCAACAGGTGCAGTGTGTTCTGTCTGTGCTTTCGTCGCAGATGGAGGCGTGCAACAAGGAGCTCGCTGACGTATACGATTGTGCGAATCTCCTCACGGCCCTCCGCATCGTAGAGTACCGTCAAAAGTTGAACCCGGTGCCTCCGGCACAGCCAGCAAAAAAACAGCGTGGGAAGCGGGATGGCTCAGGGAGATTGGCCTTCAAGCTTTTGCCGGACGAGAACAGCACAGAGGCTCTCGTGGCCGCCATGGACGAGAAGAAGCGCCAGAGGGTCCGCAGCATTCTTGTAAGCCTCTTCAGGCGCAACAACATCGACAGCCCTGTGCCGAACACCCCAACGAATACCGTGGCTTCACTGGGAGCTGGCGCTCCCACCGCCTCTGCGGAGGCCGCCGTCCGCCAGGAGGTAAACACGTCCATATGCTTGCCAGCAGACGCGGTTAGTATTTCAACGACCGCAGATCTACGCCGGCCGAAGGATGTGCCGCCGGAGTTGTGGGATGAGATCTTGAAGCTTCGCGTTAAACGGGTTGATTTGGAAGGGCGCAGCGCAATGTTAATGAGTGGCATCGACAAACAGCTTGCGAGATTCGACTTGCTTGTGCAGAATCACGGGATTGCCACATATGCGGCTGAGGACTTGGAGCGAAGAATTCAGGAATTGCGAGTAGGAAAAAGTGCTGCCCGAGCGCTTTGATGTAAATTGAACAGAATTTTAATTTTATTTCTGCTACAATGTGGTTACGCATGCAAATTTATGAATCACATATAAATGTATAAATTTGGGCAATCACGCAATTGGTATTGATATTTTTACGGGTATATATAAATAAAATTATTTACTCCGTATGTACTTGTTTTTGAGCATTTTTTTTTTTTACTTTACTCTTTTTTTTTTTTTTTTTTGCACTGTTGCAGCGGACTGCAAAATGGGCGGTGGATTATCAAGGCAAGAGGAGCTGTTTGTGCTTGGCCAATGGCCTGAGCTCCTAGAAAGTGCCATGGGCACCGACGATGAAACGTCAAAGGAAAACGCTGACGGTAGCAAACATGCATCATCAACGTTCCGCATGTCATTTTATGAATGGCAGGCTCTTATCTCCCTGCTTGATAGCGTGGTGCCCTCTGAGGTGCCCTCACGCCTTTGTACGGGCATCAGTGGTCAGCAGCTCTTGAACCCAATTGTTGTTGTCATGGTGCATGCCTGCTGTTGGGTGGATGGAAGTGTCAGCGAGCAGAAATTTACTGAGCGTCTTACTCGTCTTCAGGAGGATCTGCAGTCACAACAAGACATTCCGAGGTGGGGGAGACGATCAAAGGAAGAAGACACGGAGCGAGAACTTGTGAACAAGGCGCTCCGTGTCTTCACAGACATATTGGCACAACGGGGAAGAATACCAACTCCGAGGCGCGGGGATCGAGTGGGAATTGCGGCTTTTGAAAGTCTTATCTCGTGGGATCACTCCAAAAGGCCGGTTGTGGTTCTCGCACATGCCTTTATTGTTGGGGCTCTTGCGTGCATTCATCCGGAACCGTGCTACGCCGAATCTGCCATCCATTCCTTTCGCAATCTCCAACAGGCGATGGATGAGGCAGTGAGCTCTATCTGGCGTGGGAAACGGGGTGTGAAAGGTGCCGCTTTTAAAATTGGTGAGTGGCAAGCTGTGCGACGTCTGGAAACCATCCTTGTGCGGCGCCAACGGGAGGCCGATGTGGCTGATTTTCTTGCGGTAGAGGATCGCTGGTGGCTCCCATCGAACACGATGGTGCCGCATGCATCGTCCAAGGCGAGCTTAGAGGAACGTTGGGAGGCGGTGTCGTCGCATTACATTGGTCAGCAGCACGTATGGGCAGCTTTGAAGACACACTTCTTAAGTTCTGACGTTTTCAACGCCGAAAAACCGACGGTGATCGTTCTCTTTGGTCCATCCGGGTTTGGCAAGTCCGAGCTGGCACGTCGTCTTGCGTGTGTGATTCACGGCGTTGAGGTTGGTGAGTTGGAGACGAGTGGCAAGCTGGTTTACATACACCTCCCATCATTTTGCACGCGTGACACCATATATTCACTTGTTGACCCACCAGCCGCGCACGTTGGGGAGGGCGTTTTACTTTCGGCGCTTCGTAGGAATGATGATGCCGTTGTTGTGCTTGATGAATTTGAAAAGGGCACCGCAGATGCCATTCAGAATCTATGGCTTTCTGCCTTTCAAAAGAAGGGAACACTCCGCTCGCTGAAGGAAGCTTCACGTTCGATATCCACAGAAAAAGTGACATTTGTTCTCACTTGTAACATTGCCGCCGATACCATTCTGCACCGCACGAAGGAATACTTGCGGGCCACCGCGGAGGAGCAAGCGGCCATGCGAAAGGAATGGACCGAACTCTGTAGAGACGTGTGTCGGAAAACCATGCATGATCCTTTTGTTAATCGTGTTGATTACTTTTTTCCCTTTGTGCCATACACGGAGGAAGAGAAGAGGCGATTTATTCATCTGCAACTTCGTCGGGTGTTACTGGACCAGCGTGCGAAGGATCGACGTATTTATGTTACACCCCGAATGGTAAAAGCCCTCGCAAGGAAACTGCAGACATTTCATGCTTCAACGATAGAGTGTGTGGTGCGTCCGTTGCTTGTGGAGGCGGTGCAGAAGGGGTGGGACACCGTTGTGTTAACAGTGGTGGAACTCGTCAGCGGCACGGAGTTTGTTGCACTTCCTGCGGTGGATAAGTCAGATGGGGTTACAACGTGGAACTCTCTTCCTGGAGCCAAGCGTGCATTGGAGGTGTGTGAGCTGCCCTATGGTGCGACTGGAGCTTTGCCCCCGGTAGAGAAGAGACGAACCGACATAGTGCCCGGCGGCAATAGTGGAGGAGGAGGCGGAGGTGAGGGTAGTAAAAGTAACATTGGATCGTTGCAGGCAACTGTTGATAGGGCTGCCCAACCCACCTTTCGGGAATCCAATTTGGTGCCGGACACAAGGGTGGGAGTCGACAGGAAGTACGCCTTGCGCTTGGAAACCGTTGTTGAGAAGGAGCTTCAAGTGGAGTTGAATCGTGTGAAGGAGCTTCTGGTGATGAAAGAAAAGGAAATTGCATACTTGAAGGAAAAGGTCTTTCAGCTGGAGAAGCTTCTGGCCTTTTTCCTAGCCACCACGCTTATGTGCCTGTTATTTCTCTCATTTCTTGTTGGTATGAAAATTGTTTTTGTGATGGGAATCGTGATTTTTGTGGGACTTTGGCTTCTCGTTGAAATGCCGCTGCAGTTATTGATGGGAGCGATTCGTGTTTTGTATGGCGTTCTTGGCCCTGTTGGCTCCGTCATTGCGGTGTTGGTGGCATCCTTGTGGGGATCACAAGCACTGAGACACGCTGTGGTCTGTTGAAGAAAAAAGAAATCTGTGAAGCGTACGAGCACGTGGATGAGGGTTATATTTATTTATTTATTTTATTGGTGTCGTCTTTCTTGTGTGTATATTGTTTGCGTTGAGGTTGCTGGCCATGGGAGAGAGAGAGAGAGAGAGAGGAGGTGACGGTTGCTCGTTGCGTTTTCTCTATAAATACTCCCATGAGTTGTCTTTTTTTTTTTGTTGTTGTTGTTTATTCTTTGGGTTTGTAACAAATGAAGATAACACGCGGGGACGCAACGCTTTTATGGCGCACGAGTCCGACTCTTATCCGTCTTGTCTCGTGACGGACATCTCGGTGCTTCTTGACGGGAGCAGAGCACGTGGCCAGTACGCGGCCGCCATGGTAGCCATGAATCGGTACTACACCATGCTGTACAATAGCCTTCTTAGCCTTTCATTTGGACTGGGTTTGAAGTTTGATCCTTTTTTGGACGATGAATCGGCGGAGGACGACGAGGGGCCGTTGCTCCGCTGCTTGGGAATGGGCAGCATTTGTTCCCACGACGGCAACGCCGTTTTGCGTGTTCGCTACGAGGAGGAATGCCGCCAACTGGAGGCCCAGCGGTCATTCCTTGGCGCTGCTCTGGAAAAAAAACGGCTGGAGTGCGAGAAACTGCGCGCGCAGGGACGTGCGTTCCGCATGGAGGTGGAACACATGTTGCCGCTGACGCTGGCCGTCAATCGAAAAGTGCGGCTCTCCGTTCCTTCTGATGGCGAGACATTACTTCTTTCCATGCGTCCTGCGGAAAACCCGACAGCACCTCTGCCAGCGAAATCAACAGCCGCAGCATCCACGAACACGCCTCTTTTGACGATGGCTGCGGCTATAGCGGCTGTTGAGGACCAGATACGTTTACAGGAGCAGGAGGTACTACGGAATGGAAAGAGGTTTTCTATCAAGGGGACGCGGCATGTGGTTCTGCAGGCATTGCGAGAAGATCTCCAAGATGCGCAGGAGGCACTGCAGCGAGATGTGATGTCCCTTGAAGCCGCAAAGATTGACGCGTTGGAGGCAGACGAAGAAAAGTCGCGTCTCATTCTAGAGCTTGAGATGGTGACGTGGGCAAAAAACTGCGGAGAGATTCTGTTCAAGGAGATCTCTGAACGGAGTGCGGTGCTCACTCAGCGCGTCGCGAAGGTGCAGCGGATGCACCAAGCCCTGCAACGCGTACTAGCTGCGGGTGTGCAAGTCACGGGGTCGACCAGCCCCAGAACTGATGTCAAACATAATGTTACAAAGAAGGAGGAGGAGGAGGAGGAGGAGGGTGAGGAAGAAGGAAGCAGTTTAGAAAACTTGCAGGACTCTGTTCGGCAGCTGTGCGCTGTTCAAGAGTCGTTGTTTGCCTTAAACAATTGTGTGGTGAATCTTCTTGATGACGTGGAAGAGATTGAAACAGTTTTGAATGAGTTAAAAACTTGCTCGAATGCGTTATCGAGTTCTACTGGCACTCATTTGAAGGTTCAAAAATGGCGTAGCTGTATTTTACAGGAGGCTTACAATGACGCAGTGCTTGAACTTTTGTCTTGGCAAGCGCGTGAAAGATTGACCGTTACTGCCGCAGCCAAGTTGCTAAGGCAATTTAGGCGCCTCTGTATTGTAAATAACATATTCTCCACTCATTTTGAAGCACTTGCGAGAGCTGTCATGGATTCCGGTACGCTATGGCGGGAGGTGCACCAAATGTTGCCTGCTGCACAGATGGCTTTGTCAATTGTGCGCAATAGGAACTGCTAGTAGAACGTCATTGCATTTTTTTTTTTTTTTATACTCTTGCTTTTGTTGTTTTATTTCCCCTTGTCAAATGGCCCATGTATGTGTGCTGAAAGTGCTCTAGTGAGTCATTGGATGTCTCAATTGCCGTGTGTCCGTGCGTGTATGTGTCATGATTGGGCCGAGTGCCCGCCGTTCGTGTTGATTGCGGTGGTGGTGGCTAGTGCTGGAGAGGGTGATTGGTTGTGTGTGATTTATTTATTTTTTTTCTTTTTTGCGGGCTCCCGTCTCTCTTACTTTTTCTCACTTTCTCCGTGCAGCAGGTAGAGGTGTGTGTGTGTGTGTGTGGGGAACACGAGCACCAAGCAACGGAGTCACACACACATTAAAAAAAAAAAAAAAAGAAAGCAAAGTAGCTTCAGCATCGAAAACAGCGGTGAAGCGAAGAAGGGCGGGGATAGACGAGGGAAAGAGGAGGCTGCCAACAAAAAAAGAAATGGATAGCGGGAGCTCCTCCCCAGAGGACACAGAGCCCGAGTACAAAATTATTGTCTTGGGCAACGGGGCGGTTGGTAAGACATCACTCATCAGAAGATACTGCGAGGATGGCTTTGGCCAAGGTTACAAGCAGACCATAGGCGTCGACTTTTACTCAAAGAGGGTGGAGATTCCCGGATCACAGGCCGTCAGTCTGCAGATTTGGGACATTGGCGGACAGCAGATTGGCGGAACCATGATTGCAAACTACGTGCATGGCGCTGATGCCGTTTGCTTCGTGTACGACGTGACGAACCCCGCCTCTTTCAAGGACGTTGAGGACTGGCGCCAGTCTCTTCTCGCGCTGCAGGGAAACGAGGAGGGGCGAAAGCCGCTTATGGTGCTTGTTGGCAATAAGACTGATTTGCCAAACCGTCAAGTGACTGCGGATATGCATGCAAAGGCGGCATCGACGTACGATATGGAATCCATTCTTATCTCTGCCCGCTCAGGGGACAGGGTCAATGCCCTTTTTGTGATGATTGCCGCCAACCTTGCTGGCGTTGATATCTCACAACAGGAACTTGACATGACAAACCGGGTGGTTCTGAGCATCGAGTCGCGTCTACAAGAGCGGACACAAGGCCTTCGTGCCACGGAGGGGAAGGAAAAGAGGAAAAGTAGCGATGATAACTGCTGGCTGATGTAGAGTCACAGGCAAAATAACAGCTATACGACATGCAAATATGATGTTGTTCAGTGCGTGATACGCCCTTATTATTATTATTATTATTATTATTATTATTATTATTATCATTATTATTATTATTTCTTTCTTTGACCGGAATGACCTTCCCGTCGATTTGTTTTTGATTTTTGAAATGTTGGTTTGCCGTGGAGTTTGCAATGACTTCCTTTTCTTTGTTTTTTTGCTACTACTACTACTAATACTACTACTACTACTAATACTACTTTTTGGTTTGCCATTGAGGGGGAGGGGAAGCGGCAAAAACAAAAAGTGGGCACGACATAACGTTAAATACCGCTTGGTTGATTGCAATATATAAACAAACATTATTTAAAAGGCATCGCTGAGAGGGCAGGAGGGGAGGGGAAGAAGAGAAGCGAAAGTTTGTCGTTTTATTGGATGACATCTTCAGTTGTGAATACGCCAATAGAGAAGATACCATTGGTGGTGTCACGGTGCAGAAATGGGTTCCGCACTGGTGTCATGCGCTCTCTAGAGCAGCGTAAAAAAATATTGCTCTCCTTTTTGCGCATGCTGGATGAAAACGAAGAGGCCTTTTGTCGTGCTGTGCATTCAGACTTAAGGAAACATCCAAATGAAACCAAGTTTGCGGAGTTATCCGTACTTCGGGTCGAGGCACATCATTTCTTGCAGCACCTGGACGAATACGCCTCACCGGAGAAACCCCAGATGGAAGGAGTCTTTCGCCTTGAGGAATGTGAAATTCATCGCGATCCTCTTGGCGTTGTTCTTGTCATTGGCTCTTGGAACTATCCGCTGCTACTTACATTGTTGCCACTTGTTGGAGCCCTTGCCGCTGGTAACACGGTGGTCGCTAAACCAAGTGACTTGGCACCTGCCTCGGCGGACATCATGCATGAACTTCTTCTTAAATATATTCCGGATTCAATTGTGGGTCTTGTGAGGGGTGGGGTGACGGAAACAACGCACTTGTTAGAGGAGCGCTTTGATTACATCTTCTACACAGGGAATTCGCGCGTTGCGAAGATTATTATGACTGCGGCGGCAAAACAACTTACACCTGTCACTCTTGAACTTGGAGGGAAGACACCCGTGATTGTGGATGCTTCCTGTGAAAGTAATTTGGGGGTGGTGGCACGTCGTATCATGTGGGGGAAAGTCCTGAATGCAGGTCAGACATGCATCGCGCCCGATTACGTTCTTGTGCATCGTCAAATTCAGACCAAATTGATTGAGGCGTTGAAGGAGGCGCGGGATGAAATGATGGGTGCTAACCCGCTTCAGAATCAGGAAGACTACTCAGCCATTGTAAATACCGACCACTTTGATCGCCTTGTGGGCCTTTTTAAGGGCGGCACTCTTGCCTTTGGCGGCGAAATGGACAAGGCGAATCGAACCATAGCGCCAGCTGTTCTGACAGATGTTCAACTGGAGCATCCGATTATGACGGAAGAAATTTTTGGCCCACTGCTCCCCTTGTTGCCATTTGACACCGCCAATGATGTGCTTCAGTTCCTTGGCCCCAGAGAGAAGCCGCTGGCTCTCTACATTTTTGCGGATGACAAGCGTTTTATTTCCAAGGTGATTGAAAACACCTTCAGTGGCGGTGTGCTTGTCAATGATGTCGTTGTACACGTGGCACCAAGCAGTTTGCCATTCGGTGGGGTTGGGCATAGCGGAATGGGGGCGTATCGCGGGAAGTTCTCATTTGAGACCTTTTCGCAAAAGAAGCCTGTGATGCAGCGGAAAATGGGGTTGGAGTTTCTCAACGCCCCGCGGTACCCACCGTACACGTTGGATAAGTTCCGTGTGTTTCGGCATGCGGTAGAGTTGTCGGTGGGTGAAAAGTCGTTCAATCAGCACTTGCGGCTCTTCTCGGATCCAGCGCGATTTGTTGCGCTGGGGGGTCACTTTATTCGTTATCTTATGAAGGCACCACCGAAAAGGTAAAGTGAGGAAAAAAAACATGGCCAGTGTAGATCAAACCTTCTTGTTTTGTCTTTTTTTTTTTTTTCTGCTGGCGCTGATGGTGGTGTTCTGTTGCGTACCGATCCCTTTTGGCGAGGCCCGCGCAGAGGCGTGTTTGAGGCAAAAGCATGTTTGCCTAGTGGAACAACTGGATTCAATTCCTTTTCCTTCTTTCTCTTGCCGTCGTCTTTGTTATGCAAGCAATTGAGATATTGAGGAAAGAAAAGGATTATTTATAATCCTTTTTTTCTTCTTTCGCTTGCTGGAGGTGTTGGTTGAAGCTACAGCGGCATGTCATTGTTCATGCTCCTCAACGTTGCGTACGTATGAATAGCTATAAATTGATATTGTTTGTTTGTTGTTTTTTCTGCTTGAATCTACCGTGTGTAAATGGATGTGAAGGTGCCATGTGTGGGTATTTGATATTTTACTATTTTTATTATAGACCATCTCCACATCTATTGTTTGTTGTCGTTGCTGTTGCCGTTGTTGCTGCTTGTGGTGATGGTTTTACTGTGCGTTTAGAGGAGATGCGTGTATGTTTGCCTGTTGTGTAAGACAGTGATTTCTATGTTCTCTTGGCTGTGGTGGGATGTTCTTTACTATTTACATGCTTGTTTCTTTTGGGTAATGTCCCCACGCATCCCCCCTTTGCTGGGCGAGTCGGTTTTGTACTTTATTCCGGCCGCTGTTGTGTTTTTTGAGTGCATTAACTTTTTTTGCCCTTTGCATCTCCTTTTTTTTTTTTTTTTTTTTTTTTTTCCCAGGAACTTGTGAAGAGAATGATCGCGGGATAGCTGGCGAACTTAATCGAATAGATATATGTATCCTGATAGAACGAATATACAATTTTATACGACACTTTTTCTTATATCTTCTGAATTATTGGGACGACCACGACGTTGAGGGGGTGGGGGGGCAGGGAGCCGACAGCAAATATATAAATTTTTTATTTTTATTTCTTATTTTCACCTTCCCACCGTACCATCCAACCCGCCCCTCTTTTTGATTCCCACCACGCGGCGGGGTCTTGTGACTGGAGGACCCCAAAAGTCTGCCACGTCGTAAGTAATAATATTTCAAATCCTAACTGAGGAGAAAGGACCATGCTAGTGGTTCAGAGAATTTATATATTGAAAAGAAAACATTGAAACAATCAACTAACTAACCCCTTTTTCCTAACTTGTTTGGTTTTTATAGAGATAACTTCAGGATCCGGCTAGCTGCCCAGAAGATTATTCTTAATTATAATTCTCTGCGTGTGTGAGAGGGTGAGAGCGATCGGGGAAAGTGAGAATGAAAGGGCTCGAGGAGTGGCTCGCGTCGTCATCGTCATTGGATGATTCAAACAATGCGGACTTCGTAAGTGCGCCGCCAGTGCGGGGCGGCCGCGGCGGGGAGGGGGCAAGCAGCACGGATGCCCGCACACGTAATGAGGAAATGCGGGAGCGCATGCGAAACCTGTTGGGGGACCGCGTCGTGAAGGCCGTTGTGGAGGAAACAAGTGGCGTGGGAAAAGCAGCCGCGCCACAGTCTGTCAGCACCGCCGACAACTATTATGTAGAGGAGGACGGGAGTCGTCGTGGTGACAGACATCACGAGAAGAATAGCAGAGGTGGCAGCAACAGGTGCATTCGTCCTTCATCGCGAGAGTATCGCCGTGTGGAGGTTATGGTTGTCGACCGCGGAACTCAAACGACATCAACGGTTGGCTGCCAAACGGACCCCGTAGAGAATTATGCACCCTACATGGGATACCCACTGACTCATTGCTGCACCTGTAGCTGCGGAAAGCGGCGCCCTGGTGGCGGCATGCTGCCGCGTGAAGAGTACTCGGGTGAACCGCCTCTTCGGTTCAAGGAACAGTTAGACATGATAAAGAATTCCATAGATATTATGATTGCACGATACAACCTTCCACCGCCTCCTTTACCCCGTGTAGAATGAGACGCGCATATTTTTTGCTACCGTGTGCTTGTCTACATAATTTTTTTATTTTTGTTGTGTTTTTGCTGCGTATTTTGCTTTTTTTTTTTTTTCTTTTATGGCCGTTCTTATTGTTTTCTACCACACTGACAATCAACAACAGAAGTGCTCACGTGAATGTTTCAAGCTTTTTTCCCTTGTTTTATTTATTATTATTTTTTTTTTTGAGGTCTGTGCGTGCGTGACCTTTTAGCGAGTACGTGTGGACGATGGAGGAGTTTTACAACAACCCGTTCCGCCATGACCCGGCAGTGGATGACGTTTGCTACGCCAGCGTGCAGTTCCCCTCAATGACAGCCTCGAACACGGGGACGGAGAGCTGCAGGGAAAGGGATTTCTTCTCTATTTCCTCGGCCCTCCGTTTCCAGACGCAGTTGAGCGAAGCACTTCGAGCCAACAGCACGCTTCGAAGCACCTACGAGGCCCACATTGAGACGCAGCGGAACGAGATTGACCGCCTCAGCGTGGAGAACAACGAGCTGCAGATGAAGCTGACAAGGCTGGAGGCGCAGCTGCGATCCCTCTTGTTGGAAAAGGATTGCTCGACAATGGCGTACAAGCGGGAGGTTGAGAAGAACGCGTTACTAGAAGAAAAAGTTGGGTGTTTAGAGGAGGAGCTGAACTCACTGGAGCGACGCACACGTGAGCTGAGGGCTGCGTATAACAGGACCCCGCAGCAGACGGATGGGTGTGAGACAACTTCTTCTCGGATCCGCCCCAATCTACTTCAGCAACAGCGGGAGAACCATTATACAGAACAGGGGACGCCATCATCATTAGTGAGTGGGAGTGATTTACACTCACCGAAGTCACTTTTAGAGTCGGAGCGTAATAATCGCTCGGGCGAGAAGCAGAAATGGCGGGTTGCAGAGGAGGCCGCTGCATCTTGGCGAACGGAGACCGCAACCAGCATGAAAACAGGATTGGGAGGGCGGACCCCGAAGCCGTGCTCAAAGGTCACGCCGTACCCCACTCAAGTGATGGATGAGGAGAACGATGTCGTTGTTAAGGAATTAGAGAAGCGACTGCTGCGGGAATGTCAAACGAGGGACGAGATTGAAAAGCGGTTGCAGAAGATGGAGTCGACAAGGATTCGCTCCGGCTCCGAGAGGGCGAAGAAGATTGCACTTGAGAGGGAATTTATTGCCGCCCAACGAGCTGTAGGAGAAACCCGAATGAGGCTTCGGGAGCTTTCCGCACTGGTACGATGAGCGAGTTCCCCAATAATACAATAGCGTTTTTGCTGCCCTGTCATGCGCCGTGATGAGCTCGCATTGACTTAAAGAGGAAATCTCCTTTACCTTTTCCTCCCTCATCAAACACACAGGCAAACAGATATCTTCTTTCTAATAACGCCGTTTACAATTTTTATGTAAGAGAAGTTGTCGCACACATACGAAAAAAAATAAGAAAAAAGCGCGAAAAGAGAGAGAAAAAAAGAGTGCACTTTATTTTATGTTTTGTTGACTGCGAGTGTGCCTGAGGTGGGAGGCGGCCATCATTTGTTTCCCGTTACGGACAGCGCGCGGTGTTGTTCTGCAGCGTTGGGTTTGCCTCTGGGAGAAGTACTCGGCACCCGCGGTCTGACTTCATGGGACGGATTTCCCTTTTCTTGTCTTTTTGAAATTTATCCGCTGCGTGCTCAGTCCACTTCTTCGTTCCGGTGAAATGGAGGGAGGCGGCGTTGAGGGGGAATTAGTCGTTAGAGGCGCAGTTCTCTGTGTGTTGTTTGTGACAGAAAACTTCTTCTTTTTTTTTTTTTTATCTCTTTTCTTCTATCCAAAAAAAAAAAAAAAAAAAATAAAGGAATTATTCCTGGATGCGAATGCGCTGTGGGCTTTGAAGCACGAGGCATGCGACTCCGAGGGGAGGAGGGCGATGAAGGCGGGAGTTTTCTGCAGTAATGAATGGGATTTATTTGATGTCTATTCGCCCTCCTGCTGCTGTGGTGGAGTAAAATGTAAGGTAGATGCCGAGGTGCCGCATGCTTGTTTCTTCCCTTTGTTTTCCTGTCTCTCTTTTTTTTTTTATTATATATCTTTTCTTTTTGATGTTTTTGTTGTGTTTTTTCCCTTTTTTTCCTGATTCTTTTCATTGATGCCTTTGAGATGATGTCCGTTTATTTTTCCTTTTGGTGCTCGGCGATGCGGTGTGGCACGTCGTCGTTCCTCCTGTGAACTGCGAGAGGAGGCGGCTGCTCAGTGTCTTTTGAAAGGGGGGACGAGGCGGCTGGAAGCGAAGGGCGGGCAGACGTTGCTGGCGTCGGTGTGCGGGTGCCAAACCCGTAGTCGCACTTGAATGGTTTGCCACACCGATTTGGGTGGAGACGCGGAAGCAAAGTTATCGTCTGAGAGGGGGAGGGGAGAGATACGACGCTGGATTTCTTTTGCTTTTGGTCAGGGTGGACGGCTACAGCGGATGTGAACTGAAACTAATAAACAAACAAACAAAAAAAGTGTTGTCGCTGCAGCATTTCTCCGCGCCAAACGTTGTTCTCATAGCCAAAAAAAGCCCTACTTTTTTTTCTTGTCTCTTTATTATATATATATATGTTGTGGTGTCGATGGGGACGCTATCGACAGTGCGAAGGGATGGAGAGTGAGAGACGGTGTGGAATTTTGCACGTACATGCGCTCTTTGGGGTGTAGTGGCATGAATGTCAAAGCCATAGAACTCGATACAATGATCTGTTACAAGTGTGTGTTTGTGTGTTTTTTTTTCTGTATGCTCCCTCTTCTCGCGTGGAGGAACTCTTGCGAGGAATGTGCACCTCGGTTTCTTCCCCAATTGTCATTGTTGTTTTTGTTGTTTTACAGCTCCTCCACTTCTACTGTTTGCTTGTCCTCTGCGTGTGTATAAGGAAGCAAGGGAGGGATCCAAGGGTTCTCACAAAGCAAGCAAACACAATACGAAAAAGCGTCTGGGGAGGAGCATGTGAAAATGAGCCTCTCCGTCACTCAAAGCGTGCGCGACGAAATGGTGGCTGCTCTCTTGTTGGCCCTTGACTACACTCAGGGTGTTTTAAAAACGGGAATTGGCACCAAAAATGTGAATGTTTTCTTTAGGAATGCTTTGTCACGCGTGGTACGCTGGTGGTTGCCGTGTATCGTTTCTATCTTTATCCTTCTCCTTGTGACGTTGCAGAAGCGAGTCCTAAATGCCAGGAGACGGCAATTGCCTGACGTCATTATTTCAAGTGAGAGGAGTAAAAACCCTCCGTCTAACACCGTTGGGGCGGAGAGCAGCATCGGGAGAAACATTGGGGCTGAGGAAAGCACAGGAATGCAGAGATCACATGAGGCTCAGCGGGTAATAGATGCGTACTTTGGCCCCGCAAATAACACGGTGGTAGACGACTTTGATGCAGATGGGCATGTGCAGAAGCTTCTCAAGCATTTCAATCCCTCAAATACCACCACCACCACCACCGAGTCATGAGAGTTGTGGCTAACAGCCTGTCGAAAGTGTTTATAATGATATAGATGGAGAGAGAGAGAGAGAGGGAGAGAGAGAGAGCTAAAAGGAAAGAAGGGAATAAAATGGAATAGATTAATTACTTCCATGGATCTGTTTGCATCTCGGTGCTAACAACACGGAGGAATTTGTTTCTCTTACTTTGATTTTTTTTTGTGCGTTTTTTTTTTTTCTTTGGTTTTCTTTACGCTCATTGTGTAGACAATAACAGATATAAAGAGGCTTTGAATCCAGTTTTATGGATCCAACCGTTCCACCCTTTTGTGATGGAGTTTCATTCACTCTTTGCGATGATGATGTGTATGCCTTTGGAGGTGCAGTGCCGGAAATTATTTGGCGGCTGCATCTGGTGACACACACATGGCATGAGATACCGTGCACCGGTAGTGTCCCTGCCGCGCGTAAAAATCATGCGGCGGTGAGTTTTGCCGGCAATTTACTTCTCTGCGGCGGGGAGCCGCTGCACGCCTCATTTTTGCAGCCGCCAAAGTTGATGCCGTACTACGAGTTGTCACTGGACACCATGGCTTGGAGTCTTATTGATACAATTGGAGCTATCCCGCTGAATCGGTCACATCACGCCTGCAGCGTTGTTGGCGAGAGCATGATTCTGCTGGGTGGCAAGCCTCTATTGAGCAAGGACGAAGGTGTGCTGACGAACGAACGGCTGAATGAATTTACCCAGGCCGGTTTTTATGATGTCTACATTTTTGATATTCTCTCTCGTTTTTGGCGGGCAGTGGTGGCGCTTGGCCCCGCACTAAGGCTCTGGGGCCACTCCGCTGCGGTGTATGACGAACGATATATACTGGTGTTTGGCGGCATGGATGTGTCGGCAAACGAAACAGTAGTCATCAGTCGCTACGGCAGCCCACATCACCGGCACGACCCACCGGTAGCGGAGGTCTCAGATAAACTCTACATTCTTGATACGGAGCAAATGAAGTTTCGTGTCGTGTCTCCTGCCGTTCAATACCCAACACCACCTCGCGCATTTCACGCCGCCCATATAGACGGTGTCAGGATGTATGTTCTCGGTGGGGTGACCGTTGCCAAGCACGGCAATTTAGTTCCATTCGATGACATGCGGGTGTATAACATCATTGAGGGAAAGTGGAATTTGATGGAATTTCCTTTGCGGTTTCCCGCGGCGGTGCGGAGGCTGTCGTTTGCTTACGAGTCGCAGCTTGTTGTTGTACCGAACATGACGTCCATGTGGTGCCTGGATGTGCACAAGCAGGCGGCATCGAAGGGGTGGAAGGAGGTCCCCACGTCACACGTGAAGGTTGCCGCGATTCCAGCGACGAGCGAGGCTGATGAGTACAACGAGCTGCTGAACCCGAGACGCCGTACAGCGTACGACGACATTCCCTGTGGGCACACGGATGGGGTCGAGTTGTCGCAGTCCATGCCGCCGTCAACGTCGCCCAGGGCACCATCGATGCAGTTTGACATGATCATGGATGAGATTCATCAACTGCGGGAACTTCTCACACAGCGCGGCCCGCGACAGCCTTCGCCACATTCACCACAGCAGAAGCAAAGAAATAAAGAAGAAAGGCCACCAACCGCGACAGTCACGGAAGGCCTGCAGACTGCGAGGAACGAAGTGGAATCAGCTAAAATGAGGGAGAGACGCAGAAGGGGCCGAGAGAAACTAAAAAAACTTACACATCAGAAAGAGCTCATACTGCAGTTGACGCGGCGTCTTGAACATTTATTGGAGCGGAAAAAGGAGGAAAAACAAGAGGAAACCACGGGACTCTTTGCGGTGGGGCAGCAGTTGTCCCAAAGGACATCAGATGAGGCACTGGAAGCTGATCCTCTCATTTGCTCCCTTGCAAAACACTGTGAACGTGATGCTTCTGTGCCTTCTCCCCAGTCGCCATTGCACGATACATTGATTTCATTTCAACGCGAGGGAGTGGAGAAAAAGGGGCAGGTCTCCTTCAATGATCAAGACGGGACCCTAGAACAATGGACGAGGCTTATCGAAATTCTAAAAAAATCGCCAATGAAACCATCATCAAAGGCGTTTCGTGCGAGTGTTGTTATGATTTAAAAAGAACTATTCAATCAATCAAACGAACAAACAAAAATGGCACCACTCCTCCAATTGTTGTTATTGTTGTTGTTTTTGTGGTGGTGGGGGCATTCTCCGGCTTTTTATTGTCTTTGTTTGTGAAACTGTTTTCACTGGGGCCTCCACTTTTGTTTTACTAGTGAGTTTTCGTCTGCCAAATATTCGTTGGTGGGGGAATTGTGTGTAAAGGTGTCTTTCTCTCTCTATGCCATCCAACTGCGTGGGTGCCGTTGAAAACCGAAGGCACGACGACAAAGAAAAAACAAAACCAAAAATTAATTGTATTTATTTATTTCCCACCGTGTCCCTCTTCTCTCTTCTTGGACTCACCTTCCACGCCAGCACGCACCTGAGGGGTGCGAAGGTAGGAAACCGTAAAAGGAAACCAAGCCAGGCGAGAGAGAGAGAGAGAGAGAGAGAGAAAAAAAGGAAATTGTAAGACTTAAAAGGGGCCAAAAGGCGGTTTGACCGACTTTTTTGGTTTGGCGTTTCTGTGTTTTTTTTTCTGTGTTGGCGCGTGGGGTTGTCGTTTTACTGTTCCTTGCCCACCACGTGGGTGGGGGGTATTCGGTTAGAAATTGTCAATGGGGCACGAAGAGCAGGTTGACATGCCCATGGTGCCCGGTGCGGCTGCTCAGTCGGTAGAAGACTTTAGCAACCTGCCGCTTAACGCGCTCTTGACGCACAAGAGCTGGAAGGCGCGGAAGGAGGGGTTTGAACAGATACGGAACAGCCCAAAGAGCCTCAAGGCCCACCTACTGGAGAAGCCGAGGAAACTGATGTGTGAGAGCAATGCGGCGGCGCAGGAGGTACTTTTTGAGGCCCTTAGCGCGCTGGTGAATGTCTGCGATGACGAGGAGTTGAAAATACTTGTGGGGGAGCCGCTAAGAGTTGTGATTGAAAAGGGCATTACCGGCAGACCGCGGGCGGTGCATGCGAGCTTCAAATTTGTGTCGGATCTTGTTGGGGCTGCCAAACAAGCCGAGGTGTTTGATGTGTTGCTACCAGCCTTCGCACACAAGGCACCAAAAAACCGTATGGCTGCCACTCAGTTGTGTGCGCAGATTGTGGGTGAATACGGTGTGGCGGGATTGCCCACAAAGGCCATCTTAAGGGCCATGCAGCCTCTTTTTAATGACGCCAATGCTCAAGTTCGCAAGGAGGCCTCATCGCTATGTTGTCAGTGTTATAGATTTATTGGTGCAGGCATCAAAGGATTTCTTACAGATCTTCGTGATGTTCAAATTCAGGAACTGGAGACATTGTTTGAGGATGTCATTTTGGGCGAAGCGCCACGACGGAGTATTCGTGGCCTTTTGCCTGCGGCTTCAACCAAGCCCACTGCGCTCACGGCAAGTTTATTGAGCCACAACGGCAACACAAACGACATCTCAGATGATGCGTATGAGTCACACGATGAAGTGCCTGTTTTATCACGACTTCCTCGAAATTTCTACCGCGTTGCTTTAGACAAGACCGCAAAGTGGCAGGACCGCGTTGCAATGGTGCAAGACAATCTCTTTCCCCTCATTGCTGCAGCGAAGATACGAGTGAAGGATGACTACCATGAACTTGCAGGCATGGTACGAGAATTACTTTTAGACCCTCAGGCCCCATTGATGCTGCTAGGATTTAAATGTATTCAGGAATTAGCGAGGGCTTTGCGAGCCGCTTTTGCTCCGCATGCCCGCTCCTATCTGAATCCTCTATTTGACAAAATGAAAGATAAGAAAACGAGTGTCGTCGAACACATCACAACAACTCTTGAGATCCTTATGCGGTACAAATGCATTACACTGGAACAGTGCCAGGATGAGATTGAACTTACTTTACAAAGCCGCGTTCCGAATCAGAGACTGGCGTTGATACAGTGGCTTCTTCGACTTACAGTGAAACTGGACCGTAGTTGTTTTAGCCGGCTGAGCCGGGCACAAGTCATACTTGGCCGTTTGATGAATGACGAAAAGGTTGAGATTCGAGAAGCGAGTTGTATGCTGATTTCAAAGTTAATTACATTCCTGGGGGAAATCAATTTTCAGTCACTTCTCGCTTCACTGGATGAAAAGCAACGTATCAAACTTGCCACAGCTATAAACAGTGCTTCAAATATACAGTGTACACCTACGATTTCTCCGGCGAAGAAAACGTTACGTGTGGAGCGGCGCGAGGGCTCCTCCGTTGCGGTTTCACGGAGCCTCTCCATTGGTGAAACGCACTCGCCTTCCCATGTTAGTGCGTCACTGAGGGGACACCGTCATTCTTCGCTCATGGCGCGTCACTCATCTCCTGAATTGCGGCGGCAACATCCCATAGATGACTCCGTGTCTTTGGAGTCAACACTCCCCTCTAAGGAAGAGGCGTCTAATCGGATGTTAGGTTTGATGAATGGGGATACGACAGTGACGCAGTTGCTGCGATCCAAGGAATGGGGAAACCGCTATAATGGAGTCATGAAGATACGAGAAATGGTAGAGAGATGGTCAAAAAAGGAGTGTACAGAATACCTAGATACCGTTCTTGTGTACTTGCGTGTGGATCCAGGCTGGCGAGAATCCATATTTCAGGTATTCCAAGGGTTGCTCAGCGTGATTCAGGAGCTTGTGGTGCGGGCAACGGAGGTGAGCGCTGGGGCAAGTTATGCCATCATAAACGGTTGTGTTTGTCGACTTACAGAACCTAAAAACAAGGCGTGTGTTCGTAACTTAATGACTCAGATCGCAAAATTTCAGGGCATTTCATTTGTGACACGTCATTTAATGGGAGAAGTAACATCTGTTAAAACACCGAGACTAATGCAGGAGTGTAATGAATACATGACACAGTTACTGCAGACATTTCCAGCTTCCCATGTTGATGCAAAAGGTATTATAGATTATGTGAGGATCCACTGCTTTGGGCAACAATTCCCTGCAGTGCGTTCCTCCGGTGTAGCGTTACTGGTGGCTCTGAGGCTACACACCGGTCCTCTTGTTGATAATTACATGAATAATACCATTCCTGCACTGCGCACCGCATATGAGGAGGGTGTTTCTCACAGTAACGGCAACAAAATGCCCCACCGTGGAACTGGGTGTGACGTGCATCGAGCATCTTCTCCCGTTTCCCCCTCGCGTATGCAGAAGACAGAAAACAGACTTTCCGAAAAAGGAACGGGACAACACGGTGCTGTTGTAAATACAGCACCCTCTCGCGTAGAAAACCGAACGGGCTTTTTATCTAGGGGATATGATCAGACACAACATATTACCGAAAATGAAGAAAGCCCCATGCGTGCAGATGTTTCTCATCAATTAGCTCCTTTGATTAAACAAATCACAAGTGCAACGGATTGGCGAATGCGTTTAGATGCTGTGAAAAGAGTAGAGGAATTGATGTATGCTTCCAACAAAAATATTACACCAAATCTGGTAACGGAATTGCTGCGGTCGCTTCGCAGTCGTTTTGAGGAAGTCAATAAAAATTTTGTTATTGACGTGCTTCGGACAATTTCTTTGGTGGTGGAGTCGGCAGGCTCCGAGGCGTGTCGTCCAGGAATGAAGAGTATCCTCCAAGGAGTATTAGGGATGCTGGGGGACCAGAAGATGAGCCTTCGCGATGAGGCGACAAACGTGGCGTATCTCGCCTTGGATTGCCTGGGTCTGGACCTTGTTCTGCAGTGTATGCAGAAACCTCTCACATCCGAATCACATACCGCTCACCAAACAGCATTAGGACTTATTGAGCGGGGGTTTCAGAAGGAGCCGGAGGCGGTGGTGTCTAAGCAATTGGTCATTTCTCTTGTGCCTGCAGTTGTCCGTCTTTGCATGAGTCGTATTCTTGAGGTTCGCGTGGCCGCTGAAGGTGTTATCGGCAAATTTCTTTCATTAGTCGGAGATGAGGCGGTTTTGAAGGCCGTGCAGAGTCTTCGCCCGGCGGAGCAACAAAGTGTGATGGCGCCTATTGAACGACAGGTTCAGATTTTTCTCCGGACTGCGAATGAAGAAGAAGTTCGTCGAACGTCCACGTTGGCATCCATGATTTCAGCTCAGGCGCCTGCTTCTCACACGCCCCGTTCACCGAGATCTCCGCGGGCCGCGAGCAGGAACCTGAGTATCAGTCATAAGAGTGTTGACTTTTCTCAGATGTCGCAGGGGGCGCCGGCATCCTGCACGGCGTCACAGCGGACATCTATGAGCAAAGAGGCCTTGCAACCCTTTGCACCGTCGCTTGTACAACCATCGGCATCGGTGGCACAGAGTACACATCCCCAGGTACGTCGTGAAGAGCTTCTATCTATGCAGGAGATCATGGTGGGGTTGCGATCTGCCTCTGCGTCAACGGCAGCCAGTACATGTGTAGAATTCTTGGAACGGGTTAAAAATGATGGGGACTGTGGAACTCCCGAGATAATTCAAGTCATGGTGGAGCGTCTTTATGAAAATATTAGATTTTTTGATCTAGGTTTGGCTCTCGGTCTCATCCGATGCCTAAAGGCCATATTTGAGAGACCCCGTTACACCCAGTGGTGTCATAGTAGTTTACTTTTTAGGATACTGGGCATGATCTTTGACTGTCTTTTGTCTGAGACATTCTCGCTGCAGGAAGAAGTCATTAAAGCGCTCAACAATATGACGCTTAAGCTGTTAGAGGGATGCCCTGGGAATGACGTGTTCAGTGCTTTAATGTCACGTATGACGAGGTACTCCGCCATATACACAGAGAGTGGTAAGAAGGTTGACCTGAAATACATCCAGGTTACTGTGAAGTGCCTTATGAGACTCGATTTTGACGCCGTTTCGCCGGACAATGTGGTCCTGTGCTGCCATGAGTATTTGTTACAACATCCCCCCAGTGCCTTTCGAAATCTGGACGATCTTTCCATACGAACCGTGAAAACAATTTTGCAAGACTTTTCTAGAAGATGTGGGCTACCGCTTCTTGACGTTTCTAATCGACTGGTGGGAACACAAGACCTCGTGACGCATTTCATCCGGGCCTGTTTAGAGAATCAAGAGCGCGCGGCGCGAGCGATCAGCGAGAACGAAGAAAAGAAGGCGGTGGATGCTAATATGCAATTGCAGAGCCACCCGCAGCAACAACAACAGAAACAGCGAGATGCGTCACCATCGCACCCCGCTCGCACCCGGCGCGGCCAAAATGTTTACGTGGATCCGAATGTTCCAGTCACGCCATCCGAGGCACCGCTTGGCCCACGGGGAGTTGCGCTTGTCGCCATGGAGGAGAAATCCATGGCCAGCATTTTTTCTCGCATTCGCAATCACTTGACGTCCAAGCAGGGCATCGAGGAGTTGTATGCCTTCTTGAAGCAGCACCCCAAGAGTCCAGAGTTTGAACAGCAGTTTCGCCGATGCTCCGAGGCGTTCCGTTCCTACATTAAGCGAAAGTTGGACCGACAGCTGCAGGACGATCCCACAAAACCCCCGGGGTTTTCACTTCCCGATGTTCTTCGGCCGATACCGTAGATTTCGTGCTCTTTTTTCTTTTTTCTCTCGCCCTTTCTCTTTTCTTTTTTTTTTTTCTTCTTCTTTTTGGCTGCGTGTGTCTGCCTGTAGTTGTGGTGCCAGTTGTTGGCAGGGGCGGGCACCAAAATGCAGGGGAGGCCATAAGAAACAAACAAAAACAAAAACAAACAACAAATAAACAACAACAACAAAAACGAGGTGAAAAAAAAAGGATGCGTTGTTACGCACTGCTGAGGAAATCCATAAAAATAAAGGAAAAAAAAAAAAAGGGTGAGGAGTTGAGTTTGGGTGAATGGTTGGAGAAACGGAGGCAAAAACAAAACTACAAGGAGAATGAGGGGGAGATTGCCTTTTTCTTTCCCTTTTTTCTTTTCCTTTTTCCTTGTTTCTTTCTTCCTGCTGGTTCTAAATCTTACTCCATGTGCTGGATTTTTTATTGACCGGTATTATGTTCTTTTCCGCGGAGCCCGTGCAGTTGTTGGAGGAGAGAGGGCATTCGAGTCCTCTTCGGCTTTTGTTCCCCCTCCCCAATTATTATTATTTCTTTTTGGCTGCTGCGGCTGGTGCTGCGCCACTTGTTTTTTTTTTTTTTTTTTGTTCTTGCTTCGGTTTGTCCTTTTTTTCCCTTTTTTCTTTCTATTTACATGCACACGCCAGAATTAGGAATAGAGTTCTCTTGGAGAGGCCACGCTTGCATCATCCCCAGAGCGAAGCGAAGCGAAGTAATAACAAAAACAACAAAACCATCGGAAGCCCTAAACGATCAAAATGCCACCGAGACGTGCCATTGACGACGATGAGGAAATCACAGAGGAGGAGGAGGAAGAAGAACTTGAAACAACAAGTGAATCTGAAGAAGAGAGCAGCGTGGAGGGCTCTGCGAAGGGTTTGGGGGCGGGAACGACCGGGCCGAAAGAGGCCGTGCTGGTAAACAACCCAAATGACGAGAAATACGTTGTGGAAGGAGCACGACACGTTCAGACCCCTCCCGATAACGTGACGGGCTCAAAGATGTTGTACAAGAGCCGGCCAGAGTCACCAAGGGGAATGAGGGAAGGTAATAAGCCCGAAACCAGCTTGGGGAGTCAATCCCTGCTTCAGGCTCAAATTCCTCAAGAGTCCTTAAAGATTCCCTCTGATATGGATATTCGAAAGCTTCGTAACAACCCGAATGATGAAATGGTAAGAGTAGAAGACGCACTCAATATTCCCACGCCTCGAGGGAAAGGTCAGGGAGAAGCAGGTGGCTTACTTTTGCGGAATGCTCCTCATGATGAAGCAATCCCCTTGTCTACTCGTGGTAGTTCTGTCGGTACACCGCGAAAGCAGACTGGTGAGAAAATGGGTGCGATGGCACCCACTGATGAGGGGAGTAGTGCAGATGAGGAAGCCGAGGAGGTCGAGAGTCAATCCCGCGGTTACACCAACCAGCGGCCTGAGGCCATTGATACGGAGGCTCATCTAAAGACCAATGTAATCCCAAACCTTGAGTACAAGCCACAGGATTATGCCAAAATAAACAGTACCGCCAGCCGGGAAATGCAAGAGCTCTTTAAATGTATTCTTGATTACCAGCCGGTTATCCCGGATCTGCCGGCAAAATTGCGTCCATTTATTCCCGACTACGTCCCATCCATTGGAGATCTTGATCCCTTCTGCAAGATATCCCGACCAGATGGACGACCCGATGGCTTGGGTCTTTTTGTCTTGGATGAACCCTCCGTGTCGCAGTCTAACCCTGCAGTCGTCTTGTTAGAACTTCGTGCAACAAATATTCACTCAAGTGGTGGCTTGGCAGAGGTGGTGGACTCCTTTGAAGATGCTGCCAATCGGCCAGAGGTCATTGACCGCTGGATTGCGGACGTCAAAAAAGTGCACTACAAGAAACCCTTGCCCACGACCAACTACCAAATGCCCATGCCGGAGATAGAATCCTTGCTACAGGTTTGGCCGCCTGTGTTTGAAGAGTTTCTTAACTCGGATATTCAGTTCCCACCGCCAACAATCGACATGGACCTCGACCAGTACGTGCGCACACTTTGCTGCATTCTTGACATCCCCACGTACAACTCTCTTGTTGACTCTTTGCATGTTATGTTTACGCTATATCAGGAGTTCCGGGCGAACCAGCACTTTCAGCATGAATAGGCAGAATTTGTTTCTTGTATTTCCTTTTTTTTTCCCATTTAGAACTAAAAAAGACTTCGTCTTTAACCCACCTTCTCTGGCTCTGTACACTCCTTCAATCACCACGCGTTTTTTCAGTTTTTCAGTTTTTCAGTTTTTTTTTTTTTTTGCATTTCTGTGTGCGGATTTAACCATTTCTTATGGTTATGCCTTGTACAACTTGCGTCAAAGCAGGGCGATGCATGAAATTACAGAACGGGAAAAAAAAAAAAAAAAGAAACCGAAGGAACGTGTATGGGTGGAGCGTTTGAGTCGCACGATAACGACAGGGATGAGCGAAGAAACTAAGTGTTGGAGACGCAGCAAACGCGTCACTGCATGGAGCCCGATTCCTACTGGAAATGGGAGGGGAGAAGGGAGGGCTTCTTTATACTTCTTTAGGTGACGTGGATGACACCGATGAGAGCTCTCTCTTTTCTTTTTTTTTTTTCTTTTTTTTTTTTTTTTTTTTTGATTTATTTTACGCTGATTTATTTTTGTTTGTTTTGCCTTTGTTGTGTGTTTGCTCATTCATTTTTGTGGAAGCAAACTTGCCATAGTTGGAAAGAGGCGTGTCCCTTATATGAGCTCACCGGCGTGGTCTGTCTACGAGGGGGATTGGGGCAGCTTCTGCGATGATGCCGACAACGTACCGCCAACGCTTTCGTTGAAAGGGTGTGGACTGCGTCAGAAGTGCCTGCTGCAGCGTGGTGCGCAGGGCGCGGTGTATCTGGGTGAGGATGCCGACGGAAACGTCTTTGTGGTAAAACGACTTTTCACCCAGCGTAGTGAATTTGGTGTTCGAGGCGTTTCTGAGGGGTCGCTTCGGGAGGCTACGCTACTCACCTACATTACTGAGAGGTCAAAGACACTTGGTCCCGAGCCTCTTTTTGGGGTTATCCGTTTGGAAAGGATTGTAGAGGCCCCATTTCAAGAGTTGAGTCTCATTTTGGAGAGGTGTGCGTTTAATTTATCGCGGATGGTTTTTTATAGTAGAAAAAGGGCGTATAGCGCTGCTGGTCTCTTCCCAGAGACTCCTACTCGATGCCCCATTCTTGCCAAGATGAATGTTATTCAATATCTTATGCGGGGGATTTTAAAAATACTTCAGTTTCTTCATGAAGAGTGCCATATTATTCATCGAGATGTGAAGTTGGGCAACTTGCTTGTTGGGGAAGATGGACGCGTACGTCTTGCAGACTTTGGAAGCGCTCGATTTATGCATGAGCCGGTGGAGAAGATGTCTGATGCGAGATCCGGGGAATACACACCCATATCTCTTCGGACGACCGTGATTTACCAAGCTCCTGAGTGCCTGCTGGGTGAGCGGTCCTACACGGCGGCGGTGGACATGTGGGCAGCCGGGGTTGTGTTTGCAGAATTACTTTTGCAGCAGCATCTTTTTCACAGCTGCAGCGAGCTGGGGATGCTCTCTGACATTTGGAAACTTCTTGGCACTCCATCGGATGATCCATCGGTTTGCAGCGGCGAGGGGGCTGTTACATACGCCGTGCGCACAGAATCGACCATTGAACGGAAGTTTCCCGAAAGAATTGTTTCCGCAGAAGGCCTAGACCTGCTTAAACGCATGCTTGAGACCAACCCGAAGAAACGCATCACCGACTCGGAGGCCCTTCGTCACCCCTTTCTCTGCGGTCCCGCGGTTGAGTCGGGTATGGAGGAGGCCCGACGGTTGTGGAATAAGAAAGTGGAGGCCTGCATGCAGGAGACGGTGGCACAGCCAGCTGCAATGGGAATGCGTTCGTTTTATGTGGACAATGTTGAGTTCGATGAGGAGAGTGGCGAGAATGATGATGACGATGGTGAGATTGCAACGTTGCCAACATGTCTTGATTGTTTTCCACACATTTTGTCCGACGTTAACGGCAGACATGATATTTGAAACGAATTTTGGAGGTGAAAAACAAACAAACAAAAAGAAAAACTAAAAATGGCTACAACTACTCTGTTAAATGAGCTTTTCTGTGTTTCTAGGATGAGTCAACATTTTTGTTCAGTAGGTGCTTACTTTTTTCTTGAAGTTTTATTTCTAAAGTTTTTTTTTTTTGTTATTTCCTTTTATATCTTTTTTGTCATTTTGCTTTTTTTTTTTTCCCCCCCTTGTGTATCCGTCTTTTTCTCTGTTTGTGTGTGTGTATTGGGATCCCATTTTGAAATTTTTTTCTTTTCTGCCCCCATTTTTGTTGTCTTTCTTTTTCTCTCTCTCCCTCTCTTTCTTTGCCTTCTTCGATAGCGTGCGCCAACAGTTTGCCTTCACCAGCAAAGGGGGCGGAGGTGTGGGGGTGGGGTTTTAAGGTTACGTAAATTTTAGGAATACGTGAGGCATCGTGGCATCCGTATGCATTACCGCACGCTTGGAGTCAAGCGTCGGGCGACACAAGAAGAAATACGTAAGGCATTTCGCTCCGCGGCTGTGCGAGTGCATCCCGATAAACCCGATGGGTCTGTCGAGCTCTTTCAGTCTTTACAAACCGCGTATGAAGTGCTGAGTAATGAAAAGAAGCGTGCTCTCTACGACGCGGAGTTGGCGAAGAAAATGAGTAATCTGCGTGGGTTTAAGCGACCTCCCCCGCTTGATAATATTCGTCTACCAGTACACTACAAATTGGCGGACGATGAGTACTACGCATTTGAAACAGCTCCGGATTGCTTGAAATGCTCGTTTAAACATGGCGATATAATCAGCTGGAATAACAAGTTGGGCTGCTTCATCGGTCTTGCAGGTGACAACTTTTTGTACTGGCGTCAGGACGACCAAACACATGCATCCAAATTGTGTCAGATGGGAAGTTTTGGGATGGGTGGTATAAAAGTTGTGGTGCGTGCCAACTTTATGCTTGCACGTGGGAGGTTCGCCTCCTCATCCTTGCCTTCTCGTTCTGCTGATACCGCCAATTCAGGAACTGACCGAAAAGTGGCGGGAAAGCAGCATGATGACGCTGGAAAAAGCGCTCCAGTGACTCATGGGGAGGCGATGAAGAAGGGCCGGCCTGGCCGGCTCTCGGACGCAGAGAGACTGCGGCGAGATATTATGCGGCGGGAGCGGGAGCGTTATTACTGGGAAAGCATGGCGGCGCTTGCGGAGAAGGAGGAAAAACAGCGCGTGCGCTTGATAGAGAAAATTGAGGCCGATATGGAGGATGAGCGGCAGAACTTCAGGAACTGGCTGGAGGCAGGTGGCGTTGCCGTAGGGGGGGAGGAGCCTGCATGGGTCAGACACGCGAGACGACACGCGTTTGGGAAATGATCCTGATTTCAAAGTGAGTGTGTTGGATTTTAGAAATCAGGCGTGAGGAATTGTTGTGGGGCGCTGTTGGAAGAAGAAATAATAATAATAATAATAATAATAAAAGGTTGAAAGTTACGAACGGTGGGAGAATGCACGGGGCGTGGGAGCGCTTCAACCCGTTCATATGGTACTAACAGAAAACAACAACAACAACAAAAAAGAGGGATTGTGTCTCTGTGTGTCTATTTGTATGAGGAAAATGTAAAGTATAGAAGAATTAACAACACAAATTTGCATGTGAGTTGCGGACTGCCGCATGAAGTGCGCTGGATGAGAGCTTCCCCTTCCTTTTCATCAAGCCTTCCTTTATATATGTGTACACGTCTCTGCTTTGGATGAGAAAATGTGCCGCAGCCTTTCCACTTGGGGAGAGGGGCAGTGATATTGGAATGGTACTGCTGGGCCAAACCTCGTGTGCTTTTTTTTTCCCTTCTGTTCTTGTTGTGTACAATGACGTTGCTGCTGCTATTTATAATGGGAATGACGCCATCTACCACCTGCATGCGCATCGACAAACACACACACACACACACAGAAAAAAAAAAAAAAGGGGCGTTGTGGTGAGAAGAAAGGAGTGTGGATGATGTTTGACTTCCTTCACACATTGATTCTTTTTCTCTTGTGTGTATGTTGGATGGGACCACGTGGAATGACTTCTGGGAATTTGTCACATTTTTTTTTTACTTTTTTTCTTTTTATTTCTTTGCGATTTTCTTTTTTTTTTTTTCTTTCTTTCTTCCTTTCCTTTTTTTTTTTTTTTTTGTTCTCTCTACTTCTGTTCTTTTTTTTTTTTTTCTTTTTGTTTATTTCTGCCCTTCATGTTCATCTGGCCGAGTTATACGGTTAGGGGCGGGGGCAGGCAGGCAAGGCGAATTGTGTTTTGCCTCCACCCACTTTACCTGCCAATGACCGTGGACACAACACTCTTTTGCTTCGAGACAAACAGGGGCCCGAGGACACGGCATGACCACGACGGGGATCATTGCCACCATGCACGGAGGCAACAGGCCCGTAGCGGTTTGTTTCACCTCCCGCATGGCCCACTGCGCACACCCATCTTTATGCCTGTTGCGACACAAGCCGCGCTAAAAGGCGTGACGGTGGAGCAGCTGGAGGAACTCGATGTGGAGATTATTCTCGGAAACACGTATCACTTGGGACTGCGGCCCGGGGAGGACGTTCTTAACGAGATAACAAGGCTGAAGAATCTCCAGGAGAGCGCTGCAAAAGGGAATGAGGCGCATGAATCGCAGCCCTTGCGGATACGAAACAACATGGATGGGATTCATTTCTTACAGGGATGGCGACGGAATATTCTTACCGACAGCGGCGGATTTCAGATGGTGAGTTTGCTGCGGCTTGCCAAAATTACCGAGGAGGGTGTGCGCTTTCAGTCCACTCACGGTGGTAATGGCGGGGGCGTACAAATGGTTCAAAACAACAATAATAACAATACTAATAACAGCGGTGACAACAATAACAATGTGGCTTTTAATAGGACGGAAGAATGCATGGAGTACACACTGATGTTGCGGCCAGAGGATAGCATTCGTATTCAAAATGCCATTGGAGGTGATATCATGATGCAATTGGATGATGTTGTGCATGTTCTCACAACTGGGCCTCGTGTGGAAGAAGCCTCTAAGCGTACTGTGCGTTGGTTGGACCGATGTCTTTCTGCCAACATGAATCCAGATAAACAAGGTATATTTGGCATTGTGCAGGGTGGTCTGGATGCTACGCTACGGGCAGAGTGTATTGCGGAAATGGTCAAAAGGACCGCATGTAAGGGATATGCCATAGGGGGTTTAAGTGGTGGGGAGGCAAAGGACGACTTCTGGCGAGTCGTTGCCCAGTGCTGCAAGGGGCTGCCATACGATAAACCACGGTACTGCATGGGTGTGGGGTATCCAGAGGATATTATTGTGTGTATCGCACTCGGAGTAGACATGTTTGATTGCGTGTACGCTTGCCGTACGGCGCGTTTTGGCTCCGCGTTAACATCCACGGGGAAGATTCAACTCACAAAGAAGGCGTTTGCGAACGACATGAGACCTCTGGATCCCGCTTGCAACTGCAGGACCTGCAATTCTTTCACCCGTGCGTACCTACACCTTATCGCAACGAAGGAATCTCTTGGTTCTACCCTTCTTTCCTACCACAATCTGGCGTATCTCATAAACCTCACCCGCAGGGCAAGAGCGGCTATCGAGGATGGAAGCTTCACGGAGTACGTGCAAAATTTCTTTGTGTCTTATTACCCCAAGCGAAACTACCCTCAGTGGGCGGTGGATGCACTGGACTCCGTGGGCATTGAGCTTTTGTAGCACGACGACATTTGTCTCGACGGGAAGTCATACGAAACAACGATAGAAAAAAAGAATGAAAAAAGACACGCCACAATGAGAGAATTTGAAAAGACACATACACACCGACACATATATGTGTTTCTTTATGAATGTGCCGCCTGCTGTGTGCAGTGTGCGCATTTAAATTGCTAGTGGTTTTTTACATCTAATATAACTCAATAGATGTCTGCTGTTTTTTTTCTTTTTGCATTTCCTTTTTACTTTTTTTTTTTTTTTTACGCACTGGGGAGACAAAGGAAGGTGAACAAATTGCAAAGGGATATAGCGAGAGAGTGAGGGAGATGACTGAGGTTTTACAACTTTCTTTGCAGTGTTACATGGGGCGCTTTTGCCTACCGGTAGACCCACAGCTGAGTATTCGCGAGACGTTGCGGTACTTCAGACGGAAGGTCCCGGAATTGGGTCAAGTAGATATGGACGCCTACGCGATAAACTACAACGGGAAGTTATTGCTGGAAGAAACCATCACACTAAAGAGCGCACAGGTTGGGGAGGACGGTGTATTGATACTTGTGAAGAAGAGCGATTGCCCTGCGGCTGACACCAGAAAGGATGAGGATGACGAGTGAAAATGAAACGGGACGCATGTGAATGTAAGTGAGACTCAGAGAGAAAGAGGACGCAACGGAGCGAACACAACGAGGGTGTGGTGGCGTACATTTGGGATGTGTGGGCTTTGTTGTATGCCTCTGGTGGTAGTGTTGGTACTCTCCACGGCTAGAATGTAATCGAATTGTATGGATCCATGTATGGATGAATCAATGAACGAAACTCGGTGTCTTTTGCTTGGACGGAACAGCCGCAGCACCTTCACATCGTTCCTTTTTTCTTTTTTTCTTTTTTATTTTTTAATGTCTTCTTTTTTTCCTGTTTCTTCTTTTCTTTCTGTTGTTCCACTGTGTCTTGTCGCGCCGTGTTTTCATACCAAGTGCTTAGGGATTGCACACGCTCTGGTCGTCATTCCCGCTGCGTGGCAAACCACGAGAAAAGGAGTAGGGGACTGGCGGGGACGAGGTCGGTCATTTGCGTCGCACACGGAACTGGAGCGTCCCGTACCGCCAGAGCGTGGGGAGAAGAGATTTATTTATATTTTTACGTACGGACAGAGAGAGAGAGAGAGAAAGGGAGAAGGAAGAAAAAGTGGGGATACTGACGGCATGTATCCCTCTCAAACTGCAGCTTCGGGCGTTGAGGGCGACGGCGAAGGCTCCACCGTCATTGCGGCACACGGTCGCCTTCCAAAAATTTTAACTTTTGAGGTCAACCCGCAGGAAATATGTTTTCGTGAATTCGAGCCACACAAGACGTACGAGTCACCGCTGCATTTAAAAAATATGACGAAAGAGACGCAGTTCGTACGGGTGAGGCAACCGCAAAGTCGAGTGTTGAAGCTGAGGCCCCCGCGGCGCAATGTGACGAGTGTGAAGGTTGCGCCTGGTCTCACTGTCACGTATAAAGTGCTTTTCACACCCGAAGAGAGCCGCAACTACAGCTGCGATCTCGTTGTTACGACGGAGAGGGAGGAATTTACAGTCCCTTTGCATGCAATAGCGAGCCGTGGTCAACTGACGTTGCCGGAGTCTTTTACAGTGGCACCGTGTCCTGTAAAAAGTACTGGCACAACCAGCCTTTTTATCCGTAATACGGGAAAGCTAGAATGCCAGTGGCGTGCAGAGGCGTCTTTGCCATTTACCGTAACCCCGTCCTCTGGTGTTTTGTCTCCAAATGGAGGGGTGTTTCCCGTAAGTGTTGGATTTGCACCAACGAGGCTTCAACAGTACGAATCAACCATTTGTTTCCTTCTTGGCCCGGAGGGAGATGTGGTTCAGAAATTGCCTGTCGTTGGAAATGCGGTAGAGGTGGAAGTGGTGTTGGAGCAGAACACATTAGAGTTTCCAGTCACCTTTGTGACGCTGGAGAGCCAGGCATTGGTGCGTGTGCGGAATGACAGTGGATACACGGTTTGTTTTTCATGGAAATCCGATCGCAGCTTTGCAGAAGAAAGGCGCGCTATGGAGCAGAATCTTCTGGGGCAGACGGAGGCTGTCACGCATGCCGTCTTGACGAGCTCAAAAAATGAAGCAACTCGAAGACGTCTGATAGAAGAGCGCCGTGAAACACTTGCGGGAGGGGGGCGTGTGTTTGATGATGATGTATTCACCCTGGAACCTGTGAGCGGTACAATCTACGCAAAGGGCAGCCAAGAGTTTATTGTCACGTTTAATCCACAACTTGCCATGGACTATATTGCCACCGCGTATCTTGACATTGGTGGCAGGCGACAGCGACTCCCCCTTCAGGTGAAAGGAACGGGCATTGGTCCACAATGCGAACTTGAGTACACCCGTCTTGACATTGGCGAAGTCTTTGTCGGTGCGGTGCATGAGTACCAAGTGGATATTATAAACAAGGGATGTATAGAGGCACGCTATGCCGTTCTTCCACAAAATACACTTATGGGACGAAAATTTATCTTTCAGCCTTCCGAAGGCGTATTGGCGCCCGGGACGCAAGAGACACTTTTTATTCAACTTCAGACAGATCTTGTGGGTCTTATTTCTGAGACATTTCACATTCATTTGCATGGGTCTCTGGATGAATTGACAATACGCATTCGAGGAAGTGTCACAGGACCCGCGCTTCGGTTTGAGGTGGAGGAGTTGGACTTTGGTAACGTTTCATACAACTGTCTACACTCCCGTGTAACGCAGATGGTAAATGTGGGGCAGGTGCCGATTACATTTCGACTTCGCGTCCCCGAATCCAGTTTGTTACACGGGCTCATTACTGTATCTCCATCTGAGGGAATTATTTTACCAAAGCAACAAGAAGAAATACACGTGAGTCTTGTCTCCGACATAGTAGGGAACTGCGAGACGATGTTACTGGTGGATGTGGAGGGGGTTGGCGATGGGGTGGATTCAATTCCCATCAAAGCGGCATGTCTTGTACCAACACTTTGTCTTTCCACGGAAAGGCTGCAATACGGCACATGTTTTGTTGGCCACGAGTACGTCATGAATCTGGAGGTTGTTAACAAGACCGCACTGCTTGGAAAGTACAATTTGGTTTTACTCAATGAGGAAGGCGTTCGGGCGGCAAATGCCATAGTTGTCATTGACTCACCAGAGGGGTCACAGGCCCCAAAGGTGATTGAACCTCATAGCCGGTCTCAAGTGCCGGTGAAACTGACCCCATTGGCAGTCGGTGGATTACAAATGACTTTGTACGTACGCGTGCTGGGATCCAATGAGCCGCCGCTGCCTGTCTTATTGACGGCAACAGCACGTGGCCCTGTGGTGACGGCGGAACCCAAGTCGCTTGCATTCGGTACATTGGTGTTGCTGGAGCCTTCAGAGCGAGAGTTTGTGCTGACGAATACAAGCCCCATTCCCGCCTTCTTTTTTGCCAATTTTCCGGAGACGAGCAAACGCAACAGCGTCTCCACTGCTTTTTGCATTGAACCGTCAAAGGGGGAAATTCCTCCACACAGGAGCACAACTGTCAAGGTGACGGCACGTCTTGACGATGCGCGGCTTTTTTCAGAGCAGATTCAAATAATTGTGAGGCACGCTGAAGAAGATCCGCTGTTTGTTTCTGTTACCGCAAACGGTAAGGGATATGCTTTGGTTCCCATCGGCCCCATTGAGAAAATTGATTTTGGTGACGTTTTTACTTCGACGATGGCGGAGAAAAACATTCTCTTACGTAATGAAGGGAGGCGGGATGTTGAGGTGTTGTGGAGTGGCGCTCGTGCAAGGGCGGGCGGTTTATCTCCTGTGTTCCGCATCGTTCCTGAGACTGTTGTGATTGGCGCCGGAAACAGCTGCACCTTCACTGTCCAAGGCTTGGTAGATGAGGCCGGGGTTTTCACGGAAGAATTTCTTTTGAAGGATAAGAAGGAGTTCCGACTGATATTCACCACATGTGTCACTGGGAACTTTGTTTTGCCTGTCATTGCCTACAGCAAGAAACGGATTGTCTTTGATTACGTCTACGGCGCAGAGGGTGAAACGGGAAATGCGGTCATAATGAAGACGTTTACCATGAAGAACACAACAACTCAATCTCTGGATGTGACACTCAAACGCGTGGAGAAATCAGGTGAGGCAGCTTCTCCATTCACGTTGGTCAGCCCAAAATCCTTCACTCTTATGAGCGGTGAAACGCAAATTGTTGCCGTCAACTGTGACGCCTGCTACCGTCACGACAATGTCGCTCACACGGCGAAGGGTAGGATATTGGTTGCATTCGCCAATCATCCCTTCAGTGAGTATGTGAGCTTGTTGGCCAATATTGCATTCCCATCCATCCGCATTGAACCAGAGGACCGGCAAGTAAAATTCGGCTCTATTCTTACAAATACGGAGGGACGCTCAGAGCTTACTCTTACAAACTTGTCACCTGTTGTTCCGGCTGAATTTTATTGGAGTATCGAGTACCGCAGCGAGGTCCCTTCGGAGCAGCCACAGCGAGATCAGAAGCGTTTTGACTTTGTTCCCTTTCGGGGGGTAATTCCTCCAGGAGGAAAACGTGTTGTTGAGGCTGTTTTTTACGGCACCCGAGGTCGACATGATGCCACGGCAACATGTACTTTAAAAGGGGGACCAAGTTACAATGTGAGTCTCATTGGTTGGAGTGATGTCACCGTACGGTTTGAATCCACAAGTCTTGATTTTGGTGTGATGCATTACTTGGAAAGGGCGAATAAGACCATCTCCATCTTCAGTCCTTCTCGCGTTGCCCGTTCATTTACTGTGAACACTATCGCACTCAAACAACCTGGATCGATAGTGGTGAGGCCCATGAAGGGTGTGGT